AGAGAGCTGGGAATCAGTGGGATTTTTTCTATTTCTGATTTTCTACGATGACATTTCAGATACCCTTTGTGAGATGACGAGGATGATCAAAATGGAATGAAATAAGACAAGATATGGTATTCGATGATGATGTTGAAACCCAACGCTATAGTGTAGTAGATACACGTAGGTGTGATAAATCACCGATTTGACGCAGCGATAGGTGATATATGTACTAGCGTCCACATTGTAAATCATGATAATGTGTATGAACAAGTCTCCATCCTGAAGATTATCATTAATGCTCCTCCGATTCTTAGTATGCGACAAGTCGCGACTTGATGTGCTCCAACAGAGGTGCAGGCAGTTCCTCTGGTTTGACCAAGTCCAGTGACAGCAGATCACCCCAGAAGAACATAACTCGGTCCTGCGCGTAAGCCAGGTAGTCAAAGTCGCCGTCATCTTCTTCGTCGACATTCGCATCCACAGGCGGCATCTTGGTGTCATCGTCATTGCCGTTTTCGCTTGGCCCGTTGCGAGCAGCAAGCATCTCAGCAATACCTTCTTCCATGCCAGGCACCTTAGCCTGGACAATACCCCAAGCTACCCACTGCGCGGAGTTCATCGCCCGCCACATCCGGGTCTGCTGCATGAGGAGTCGCACTTCTGCGTCAAGTTCAGCCTCCTTAGACTGCTCATTTTGCGAAAGCCGTGAGCTGGGTCTTTCTGACACATCGTCCAAGTCCAATGGTGCAACCGCAACAGGAGCGCGAGCGCGAATAGTCGGCGAGGACAGAGGTGAAATAGGTCCGCCGGTGCTAGAAGGTCGGTGGGTAAGGTAGGTTGACACGAAATTGTACTGCTGGTCCGATGTCGGGTAGTTACGGTTGTTGCAAGCCCACGAGCGCTCTTCGTCGTGGTAGTTGTAGCACCACTCGGTCTGTTGCGGTTAGCATCCATTTGGATTGGCAATTGGGTTAGCGGACTTACAAAGTGGTTGGCGAACTCGAGTCCACGTGTATTGGCAGAAGAGTACTCAAAGTCGATAACGATCAGCTGTTTGTGCTCATTTGCAGGCAAAAGCAGTGGTGACTCCGTGGCCGGCTCCATGCGAAGTAGATTGCCATATTGAGTCTACACGACACGTCAATAACACAGCAAGGAAGGTGCGAGGCATAGAAACACTTACATCATTGTGCGCGAATACTAGCTGTCGCTTGATCTCGGCAGTTCCACCAGAGCTGGCAACCAACCAACGCCGATAGTTATCCACGGCTTTGCGGAACACGTCCCACGTTACGCCGCAAACATAGCCGCGGCGACGCCATGGTTCCAAGGCAGCTTTGGCTTCGTTCTGAGGAGATTGGATTTCTTTATCCAGCCAGGTCGTCACTTGCTCGCAACGGTCCACCCATTTATCCCAGTTCTTGAAGATCATAGGTCCACCTTCGCGTTCTTCTTCAAGAAGTTCAACGCCATCATGCAATTCTCTCATCCGCTTGGCAACCTGTCTCGCCGTTTCGGGCATCCGCAGCTCCTTAGGAGTGAGTGGGCGAGCCTCAAAGTACTCTTCGAACCGGCCATTGAGGAAAGTTCCAAGAATGCGTGGACCAATGTTCTTCTTTCCGAGGCGACGAAGAATTTGCAGCTCGTTCTCTCGGTCGATTAGATGATCGACTTGAGGACCGTAGATACGCAAGAGAAGCTTTCTGTAAAATCCAATTAGATGTGTCTCTAAAGTGAGGGAGGCGACTTGTTGCTTACGGTGGGGGCTTCCTTGAAACCAGACTGTTGCTATCGGACTTCGGGGGAGGCAAGTTCTTCGGCGGTTCAACTACATACACAGCGTTCGTGAGAGCACCGCTGAGCCTGACCACTTCAATCTCGGGCGCCAAATCTGCGGGAACTCTGCGCCAGCCCTTCAGTTGCAGGGTATGCACAAGACGCACGATCTCGGACTTGAAAACAATCCAGGCCTCGGCATCCTTTGCTTGTTTCACACTTGCACTGGAGTCGGCGATCTCTTCTACTGCAGCGCCACCGCTGTAGGCAAGCGTCTTTGTATTGTCAAGGAAAGCTTCCACGCCTGGAGGGGCCCCGTCGGCATCTGTGAGTTCAGACTCGGATGCCGAGCCTCTCCGTAAGCCTCTAAGACGATGTTTAGATTGCCGTTTGACAGGTTGTTTGTGGGGGAGACCCATTGCACTTCTAGGTCGAGTGGTCGCATATTGGAGGAGGATTTTTTCCAGTTTATCCAGGGAAAAGGTGCTCTCCGAGGTGTTCGAGGTTTCCGAGCTGGGTCTTTCTAAAGCACCATCTTCTTCGGCTGACTGGCTTTCGTTTGTTGCATGGGGGGTTGCTTCGGCTTTCCGTGCTTTACGATTCTGTCGTCTGGTTTTCTCATGGTGAAGCCATTCGTATACTTGGTGGAATAGACCCTGCTGGGTATCTTCTTCGGGTCTGATGGATTGCCCTTGGTCCTCGCGATGCTTGAAACCCGAGTGATCCTCTAGAGAAGGCATGGTGAATGATGGTTGCGCAATGGGCTTTGGTGGACACGTGATCTCGATAATGTCTCAGACGTGTTTCGTCGGGGGGCCGACAACAGTTCCACTTGTGCGCAAGGCCTTGGTCAAAGAAGCTGATATCCAAGCCCGTTGCCGTAGCAGATGAGTCTGTGGGGAATTAGTATGGTTGGGATTAAGAAGGACGAATGATGAATGATTCGAATGGGGTGCTGGGGCGAGAGTCGAGTCGCCTCCGAGACGGAATTACAAAGGGGACAACGTGTACTTATATGGGAGAACACACGATACAGTGGATTCCTTATCTACAGAGTCGCACACGGGAACATGCTGGAAAGGAGATAGAGCCTACCTGGGGGTTGAAGGGTATCTTCACGTGTAAGCCAAGATACGGAGGCTCAAGGGCTTATCTCTTTGAGCACGCGACCAGTTGTGAAAGCTATTTCCGAAGAAGTGCCCAGTCGAAATGATTGTTTAAGACAAAAAGGGGAGACCCGGAGGTGGGGGAAAATAATTGGACCCCTTAAAACCAGTGGACGGGTTGGCAAGCGAACGGAAACGTCCCAGCGGCCAAGTTAGTCGGATTTGGTCCCTGGAATGTTACCCACAGATCCCAAAAATGTCGAAATCCGGGGAAATTCAATGCTAAAAGGAAACTCCAGAGTAAGCATTGAGCACCAGGAACACTGTAAAAGAAAGACTTTGATCTAAGTCTCCAATGGTGGGGGAATATGTTCAAAAAAAAAAAGTGGCGAAAAAAATGGATGCTTATCGCTCAGGTGACTGTTCCTCCGGTGCCTGGCTAATCGGGCAGATACCGTTCCTGGTTCCTGGTCGTTTCTGGCTTACTTATCGCAACACTATCAAGCCTGGAAGTAATCCCTGAAGGCTCGTAAGGATTCAGAATATCCGAGTGGTCGCTCGACTCATGGCGTACTCAATGGCGCTTTATGGGGAGTTGCCATAGCTTTCTCGCGATCGAAATCAGTTGCAAAAGGAGGAAACGCCGCATTGTTCGGAAGTCGCCCGAGCAGCAGCGATAGAGGTCAGTCACATAGATAGATGGCGCTCATGGCTTTCAATTTGTCGCATGTGGGAGATGAGCTGGTGCCAAAGGAGCATTGAAAGCCTTTCTTTGGTCTTGGCTCTGATCTAGTCCTGGGAACATTCGTGAGGGGTGTTAACCAGTATAGAGTATATAACATGTCAATGCTGGGAGATCGACATTCTCAGAGTCTCGAGCAGACTCCTGTTAGGGAAATTAGCATTGACATAAAGAAGAACGTTTGAAGTTGGGGAGGCTGGATGTTGGATCGGATATGAGAGAGGGGAAGCTTGGTAAATTACCGTATCAAGTGGTCTACGGTATTGTTCCGAGTCACAACTCTGAATTATATGGAAAAGAGATCGATATTAAGGAATATACCATAACTAGCACCCAATACATGTACCTAATGTGTTTCTAACGCGCGTTGTCCTTTGTGGATAGGACAGAACTCGTTATCCTTATCTAGGATTTGACCTCTAAGTAATCTAGGAGAATAGTGAGCCTGTGAGAAGAGCGAACCCGGTAGCCCTTGATCTATGAAGATCGCGGGGATTGGCGTGCACGATACAGGAGCAGTGGTCTAGGAAAGATGTTTTGGCATACTAGCCTTGGGCATTGTGAAGATACATGACTTTGGCACCAAGGGGCTCAATTTCTCGAGGCCATCTTATAAGAGCCCAGCCACGCTTTTTCTCATGTCGGAGCACATAGACCGGGAAGATCTTTTTGATTTTGTGAGCTATATTAAAGTCATAATCAAGATGACTAATGTCGACGACAATGAAGGTACCGTCATCCCATAGATCAACAGCGACGACGGACGGAACCCGCGGGTCGTCTTCCCAACCAGGAAAAACCAACGCTAATCCCAAAATGGAAGGACAGCCTAAAACACCCCTTGGTGCTGTTCTTGGATATTGTTGTAGTAATCTATAATGTATTTTATCTCGTAGCAAATAGGAAGAGCTAAAGAAAACCATCAAACTGGTCGAAATATATGAGTGCTTTACCGTAGTCTCTGGTTATATCTAGGAAAGTCGTATGTACATTTTACCCCTTTTCCGCTTTCGTATGCTGAAGTTCTATAGCGAATTATTATGCTTCACCCCACATATGGCGAGAAAAAAAAGATATCTTAAAAGAATGATCAAAAAAGGGATCGGAGTGTTATCTTACGTATAACGTCCATATAACGTCCTTATTATAATCCGAAGCCAGATAAATCAAAATGTTCAAGTTTTACGTCAAGAACAGAAGCCATCTACACTTGTTGTACAGCGTAGTTGATAACTGCCGACCGCACCTGGGCAGTAGACTTCATTCCAATTGTCATCTAAATGCACATCTATCACAATTTGAGCAAGGTGTTCTCGCTCCAACTAAAACCCGATCCTAGTGTTTATAGGTGCTGACCCGCAGAGCTTCTATCACGATTGGTCATATTCACGATGGCCTGGACTCTGATTGCTACGATCATTCCAATTCTTCTTTTCTATCTTTGGAAAAATGTTACATCTTATCGAACGAAACAATATGCCAGGTTTCCCCAGCTTCCACCATCGCTATCATGGGGCCATTTGTCCACGCTTGGGAAACTCGTGAAGACAAATCGACCCAATATACACATCGGTCTGGTCAGGCAAATTTGGGCTTGGAATATAAAACTGACTGTGGTTGTTAAACGAGACCCTCAAAGCCATGTACCGTGGTCTCGGCAAGCCTGCGCTATTTGTTGTCGATTTGCGACCAGTGAGCTATCCGATGTGCGTGATCCGTGATCTGCGATCATATGTTGCAGAGCAAATATCCAAAAGCTCGAATCTCTTTCAGTACAGTGCACCCAAATCACACATATCTCGCTCGTACAGTGACATGATGGGTCCACTCTCCATTGTTCTTGCAGAGGTAGGTTGAAGGCTCGATCGAAGCACATAAATTATACTAACTGAAGTCTAGAATGAAGAGTGGAAAAGCCTTCGCAAGCAATTCAATCCAGGATTCGCCCATAAGCATCTCATCAATCTAATGTCATGTATTCTAGAAAAGACACGACTTTGCTTGACGAAGCTCGATCATTATGCCAGCACTAACGAGGAATTCCCACTGGATGAGCTATGCCCAAATTTGACATTTGACATTATCGGCGCTGTTACCATGAATATTGATCTGTATGCTTAACTCGGAGAAGAAAACCAAAATGCAATCGTTCGACTCTTCCGCAAACTAGGCTCGACCTATCGTTCCCGACACAGCGGATGGAAACTATTACTGCCTCTCCAGAGAAAGGTAATCTCTCGTCAACTTGGTACACACATCAAAGAGCATATTAAGGAAATGTTTGAGGAGCAGTCAACTCCACACAATCCGTCTCGCAGTGTCCTTGCTTTAAGTCTAGTCGAAACGCAGTAGTTAACACCCGAAGTTCTAGACCGGACCTGCGACCAACTCAAGGCTTTCCTATTTGCTGGCCATGATACAACAAGCATCTTGCTACAATGGACATTCTACGAACTATCTCGGACTCCGCAGGTCTTGCGCCGTGTTTGCTTGGAACTGGATGAGATTTTTGGTCCCGACTCGGACCCAACCCATATTCGAGCTCAAATCTTAGAACATGGAGAGAATGTTCTCCAAAGAATGACCTACACCTCTGCGGTTATCAAGGAAATTCTTCGTCTGTATCCACCAGCTGCGACGGCGCGATTTTCCAACCCAAACGCCGGTCTGAGCGTTCGACTACCAGACGGTCAAGATATGTGCCTGCATGGGTTGATGCTCTACAACTGCCAGAGTATCATACAGCACGACCAAGCCGTGTATGGCGACAAAAGCAATCAGTTTATTCCCCAACGCTGGTTGGACACCGGCTCCACAATACCGGCGAGTGCTTGGCAGCCATTCAAGCGTGGACCATGCAACTGTATTGGACAAGAGCTAGCGAATATCGAAGCACTTGTGATTCTCGCATGTGCCGCACGGCGATATGATTGGGAAAAGGTAGGGCTTGGTTCGATCAAGCGGGATGAGTCAGGTGCGCCGATTGAAAAAGAAAACGGACAATACGAAGTCCAGTCAGAGCTGTATAATGTAAGAGTTCCACCGCTTTACCGATATGCATTCACTAACAAGGTTTAGACACTGGAGATTACCTCCAAGCCAGTGGATGAAATGAAAATGCGACTGAAAATAGCAAGAGCATAGAATTCAATAATAATACAAACCACTCAAATTATGAAACCTCATGTGCAATAAATGGGTTTATAAGAACACGCTCTTTGACATCCAAAATTCTTATGTAAAGTGATGACTCGCTGGATATATTCTGAGACATTCAATGCAGCCAAGGGCTTCTGCCCAGTTGTCAGGTAAACTGGGTTCAATTATTCGAACCGCGAAGAGAAGAAAGGACAAACCGAGAAACAGTTGCATTGGGTTGAAAGGTAAATCAATAGTCAAGCCTGTCAGGCGACTATTTATCTGCATGGTCATTTTTTAAAGCGGTTTTCTCAAAGCGTCAACACATCTATACATAACTATACAGTAGTTAGTTATGTATTAGACAAGCTTAATAATAATCTCTGCAGACCAACTAATAATATGAAAATCTATAGATAGATGCTGTCTCCTGGCCACAAAGCAAGGGATAATTGCAGAAGAACGAGACGAATATCCCTTGGGCAAATAAACCCAGGGGCAATAGAGACTCCACTAAGCACAGAATATATGCCACTTATACGGAGTACTCCGTACAATATATGAGACTGCACACATTCCGTAGCTCCCGTCCCCGGATCGAATCGGCAGCGCCGATCACTCTTCATGCCAAGCAGGCGGAATTTTAATTCGAATACATGTGGAGAGACTAAGTGAAACATGATCATTCAAATTTCACAGACCGGGGTTTAGACCCCGAAGTTATAATTAGGGAGCCTTTGTGTCGTCGGTGGCACTATACACTATATTGCAAACAAAATATAGTAACATATTCCCCTATTTTACCTATAAAAGCCTGGTGCTCAGCAACTTATTAACGTTGAATATATTTCATCTACGACCCTCCCTTCTTATCTACTATTAAATCACCAAAATCTCACAATGAAGTTCACCACAGCAATCGTCGCTTCCCTGGTGGGAACCAGCACCGCCTTGTTCGACAAGAACCTGCGTATGTAATTCTATACTCATCTACAATGTTTCGAACTGACAATCCCTTCTTTTCAATGATTTAGCCTGGGGTAAACGCGACTACGCCTGCGTAAACGTCTACCAAGGCATCCCCGACAACTCAACCGTTTCCGCTGGCCAAACTGTGCGTGTCCACTTCGACCGCAAGCCCACGGGACGCTGCGCAGACCCATTGAGCCAGTACCCCGGCGACGACTACAGCGTGTGGCTGTACAATAACCCCGTGCGCAACCTGGATACCATCTCCTTCGACCAGTCTATCAAGATTACGGACGGTATCAAGGAGAAGGCGGGTCTTGTTGACGTCACTATCCCGAAGGACTTGCCCCAAGTCAAGGATGGCTCGCTTTGGTATTTGAGAGTCGGGACTTCCCTCTCAACTGCACCACAGGTATGCTTTTCTTTTCTTTTGAGTGGTTTATTTTTCGCTTTTGCCTTTTTTGGAGTGGAATTATCTGCCTTCATGCTGTGTTTATCTTGGGCTTTTACTTGATTTCAGGGGCTAACCACTATTATGCAGATGCCCTCCTTGTTTAACGCTGCTGGGCCATTTACGGTTGTTCGTGCATAGATGGCTTGAGCTTGATTGACAACTTGGCTGAAGAGGGGTGTATGATCTTATTCCTGCGTGTAATAATCGTCATATCACTAATATCACTGCCATTTCTTTACTGATTATAATAGCACAAATAAATTGGAGGATATGGATATCGAGTTGCGGTTCAGGCTCCTGACCGATGAAAATCATTCAAGCCTTGTTGCTAAGATATTATGAATAATTTGGTTCTTAGGCACCAGGGTCAGGATGACCATGCAGGATTCCATAATGTCATAAAATGCGAAGTCTAATCATCTAATCACGGAAGGAGACGCTGAAGACCTTGTAGCCACTGATAGGTTTGGCATGGCTACCTTCAGCATTCAAGTTTCCGTGCTTGTCAATATCAATGTACCGCCCATTCTCCACAAATTGCATGGTATAGCCACGGCCACTACCTAAGAAGATGAAATGTACTTGAGCTGCATTTGCACTCTGGCTTTTGGGAAGCAAAGAACCACCGGGACCGAGCCATCGATCATCCAATGCACTGGAGATGGTAAATATATGGCTTTCCTCGTCGTTGTTGTAGTGGATTACCCAACGCTGGGACTTATTGTTGTGCTGAGGGCTTGCAGGGCTGGACACAATGTGGTTGCTTCTGGCCGGATTTGTGATGGCTACTCCGTTCTTTTCAAAATTTAGGTATCGGCCCTCGGTGAGGTACCCAACCACTTCTTTGAAACCCTCTTCAAACCACAGGGTATTGATATCCGTTGCGTTGCTCTGTTCTCCATATGGAACATCAGGACGTGTCTGCTTGTGACGAGACTGGCAATTAGAAGTACCAGTATACTCGCCCTTGTCGTTGGTATCAACAGTCCCGGCATCCGGAAGATTGGGGAGAGAGTAGTCTGGATGGTCCAAATCAAGCGCGTTGACTAGATTAGACATGTGCTTGCGTCGCCATAAGACCATCTGATCGGTTGTGATATTTTGATGTCCCCGCGCTGTCAGCCATTCCTCAAGGAAGAGGATCTGAGAATTATGATCTGCCCGCTCAGTGAACACGCGATTTCCTCGGGTCCAGGGGGAAATCATATAGAATGGTACTCGGAAACCAGGCCCTACAAAGATATCCGAGAACATACCCAGGGGATCCTGCATCCAGTCTCCTGGGGTGTCTTTGGGGGAATGAAAGGGGGTGACATGGTCACCAAAGCCGCCGGTCTCATCAAAGCTGATCATCAGAAGCGTCGAGTTATACTTCGGGCTTCCGGTAACGGCATCAACAACCTTTTTCTGGAGCCAGGCTCCATCCCTCGGCATGTATGGTGGATGCTCAGAAAGCTCGGACGGGCCAACGATGAAGCTAACCTCGGGCAATGTGCCGTTGGCCGCAGCCTGACAGAAGGAATCGAGGCCAACAAAGGACATCCCCTTTTTGGCTAGAGGGCTATTTTTCGGGGCAGTTTGAAATTGCTCGAACCAAGCCAGGGGGTTATCGTCGAAGTTGTTTGTGTCTTGGAAGAGTTGCCAAGAGACTCCTGCCTCTTCATAAAAGTCATATATGGTCTTCCATTTGAGTGGGTAGCAGTTGATGCCGTGATCATCGCAGCCTGTATAATTTTGGTCAGGTGGTGGAACAGCTAAGACATGATTGCCTGGAGGGATAAGAAGACAAGTAGAAGACATGATTGGTGATACATACCTGGTACCTCATTGTTGTCAATGTATACACCTCCCTGGTTCTTATCCTGGGGACTGCCAGCAACATTGATTGAGCCGCTGACCAAAGTAACCCGATTAGGATTCGTGGCAGTGATTTGACTTTCCTGTTTGCAAATCAGTCTCCAATTTCTTTGGAATCGACTCTGGTAACGCACCTGATACATGTCTCCCGAAGTCCAACCTTCAGCAATAGCAAATTGAACTGGAATATCTTGCCGCTTCAAGTAACCCCAGCTCCAAGGTGTGTTTTTAGTCACCCAGTGGTTGTTCAACCCGTTGTTTAGAGACTGTTGGTTCTCTTCATAGCCATTACTACCCGCAACCATGCACTGAATCGCATCGTGCCAATCGCCACCTTGGTGTCCAAGATACCAGGGTAACAAGGTCTTGGTCTTGTTTGACTGAGCCGGCTCGACTAGTCTGACACTGAATATCAGAACCATTTTCTTCCCTTAGAGCTCCAGTGCCCAGCACTTACTGATGCCAAACCGAGTTTCCGTCGGAGTTGACCTGAACATTGGGATCATTGAAGCCCCGGACTCCGGGCATAGTGCCAAAGTACTGCGATTTGGTGAGCATGGAGTGAACGGTTCATAACGCAGTCAAAACGTACCGTATCCCACGAGCGATTCTCCTGCATGAAAATAACGACATGCTCGATGTCGCTTAAAGATCCACCAGAAACTAGAATGGCTTCTAGAAGTACCGCGATAGCGATACACTTCAGCAATTTGAAAGCCATGATTCGGTAATCGCAGAAGGGATGGGGGAAAGAATTCAACTGAGAGAAGGGCCTACTACTTTATGTACCCCCCAGCGAGACATGCAGAGAGCGGAGAAAATCCAGTGAAGATTAGCGCTGTATGTACTTATGGATCCCTCCAAGAAGCTTTGAGAGACTTGGTCACATCTGCAGGCGTTATTCCCTCGTGACGAAATAACGAATCGGAATATAGGGATTGAAACACAGGGATGGGCTGACATTCTTGGTGACGCACGGCGCCGATCATGCACAATAGAATAATGTGTGTATAAATCGAGTTATAGTGAAAGAGAAGGTGCAGGTGCACTGTTGATCCAATCTGATATGCGGCTGTCTCCACGTGAAATTCTATTCCACGGTTCGGTCAACGCTAAACAGAAACATACTTTCGGCAGGAACGATCTTGTTTACTTTTGGATTAACTCCAGGCTGCCACAGGTACTTTAGTACCTGTTTTGTTTACTCAGTGTGCATTGAACTGACTATTTTACCTTCGCTCTGATTGATCAAGATGAACACGTGTGTTGCATGTCTTTCTGTAAGGTCGCATCGCGTTGATCCTTTTGACAGCAAGGGTGGCACGAGGTCCTAGCGCGGAATGTTCTCTCTTCTGGCATTCGCTAAGTACTTGCCTTGTTTATATATCTGATATGCTCAAATCTAAATGAGCTATACTCCTCTTAGTTGCTTCCAAACCACGCGGACGCAGTACGGTCGGAAAACTGTCCCCAGTTCAGAACAAGTGGCCCTCGACCAATGTCGGGGCTGTCACAGCGGCCATGGCCTATTGTAGGCTGCTCATTGGCTACATGTTTACTGATCGGATTGTTGTATTTTCTCCAATCGTCTATCTTTCTCGTGCCCTTGATTTTACCTGGGCGGCATCATCAAAACATTCAAGAACATGAGGCCATCACTGCTCGACCGCGGATAGAGCTTCACCCGGAAGATCATGTGTACCGGCCGGCGGCGACTCAATATTTGGATTGGCATGTGACCTCGGATTTTCGCAGACCAGATGGGGTATTGAAGCGGGTCTATCTCATCAACGGTTAGTTGAAGGAACTGACTAGTATCACCGTTGTCGATCTGACCGGAGGATATCGAACTAGGCCTGTTCCCCGGGCCAACGGTGGAGGCCCGCTCTGGTGACACCTTGATCATTACTGTTACCAATGCCTTGCCGGATGAATCAATTGCTATCCATTGGCACGGCCTTCATGTGGCTAGTAAGCATCTGCCTATGTCAGATCTCGATTAGACACATTGGTGCTAACTCACATAGATGCCATGGATGGTGCAGTGGGAATTTCACAATGCCCCATGCCTTCTGGAAGACATTTTGTTTATAATTTGACAATTCCTTCGGATCAGAGTGGTACTTTCTGGTACCATGCCCATTCGGGGGTGTCGCGGGCAGATGGCCTTTATGGTGGGCTGGTCGTCCATACACCAGCTTCCAAATCGGCTGCTCGGGCCTTAATATCCCGAAGGCTCGATAATGCCCACCGTTACACTTATGGTAGAGAACTTTTGCTTCTCATCGGTGACTGGTACCACCGCCCTGCACGTGATGTTCTTGATTGGTATATGGACCCAGGAAATTTTGGAAACGAGGTGAGTTCCGAAATGTGGCCCCAAACGTTGGAGAGTGCTATTTGACACTGGTATTAGCCGGTTCCTGATTCCTTGCTCATTAATGGGGCAGGGTATTTTGACTGCATGATGGCGGTACCTGCAAGGCCGGTGGACTGTATTGATCAGCAGGTGAATAATTCATTTATCGACCTCGACCCTCACGCGACCTACCGAATCCGCGTGGTCAACACTGGGTATGCCACATGACTATCAAAGCCAAATTGGTTATTAGCTGACCAGTTGATAGAGCTCTAGCCGGGCTGAGTCTCGTTTTCGACAACCATCTCCTGGACCTGCTTCAGGTGGATAGTATTGATGTGGCACGCCCCAAAGAGACAAATGTAAATTCCATCGGCATACTCTTTCCCGGGCAACGCATGGACTTTGTTCTTCGTCCATTATTACAGACCTCTGAAAGGCAGTCACACATGAGGGTTCAGTTAGATCAAGAGTATGAATAGACTCGCCAAGCACTACAACAGTTATCGGGCGGTTGCTAATGTCTCAGCAGTGGCTTCAAGTACACCAACCCCGCGTTGACGCCAGATCAAACCTTCCCCACCAACTACCGTTCTGATGCCGTCGAGGGACCTCCGCTGAAGGCCCACCATCTCAACATCGGAGAAGCACCTTCTGCGCCCTCTATTCTCCGTTCCATTCCACCCACCGCGCAACAAACGCACGTGGTGTACACCAAGATCCAAAAAATGGCCCGATATTCCAACAAGCCATTTGGTTACTTCAATCAAACTACCTGGAAACCCCAGCAAGATTCAGCCGTCCCATTGGTCTCTATACCTCGAGCTAAATGGGATGCAAACCAATTCGCAATAACCACAGGGCCAGAGCCTGTATGGATAGACCTAGTAATCAACAATCTAGATGAAGGATCTCACCCCTTCCACTTGGTACGAAGACCCCTTCCCCACAGATTGGTAATAATCCACTAACCAATATCCACTCCAGCACGGACACCACTTCTACATACTTGCAGTACACCAAGCCGAATTTGGCTGGGGCTCCTACAATCCATTCATTGACAAAATCCCACCACACCTAGAATCTGACTCAGATGAGTTAAAAGATGAGACAGTTGACGCTCATAAACCCAATGGTTATAATTCCGATCTGTACGACACATCCCGGGCTGCTTTGCGTGACATAGTCCAGATCCCAAGTCGCGGCTATGCTGTTCTCCGTTTCCGGGCGGATAACCCCGGCGTTTGGCTTTTTCATTGCCATATGCTATGGCATTCGGCGACAGGTATGGCCATGTTGATTGATGTGCAGGGCGATCCGACGGGATTGGCTGCGCACGCTGATGGCGGAGAACCATGTCCTGCTTTTGAAGTGTAATAACTAGTTATGTTTGGACTAATTATTACCTAATTTGTTAGCAATTATGCTCCAGACCCTAGCTTCTCATTTGTTCTAGATAATTTTGTGAACTTTTGCCAACCCAATTCTAGGCCCAAAGTGGACATCCTCGGAGATGAGTGCCGATCCTCAGGGGCAACGGGAAGGAGATGGCTCACAGCCTATTGGATAGGAGCTGACCAGCTCCGGAGTATTTCGATAATTCCAATTGAGGAGGAAAGAGGTCGCATGTCAAGTCAAATCAAGTTTAGGACGATATTGGCATCCCCGAGAGCCTCAAATGGTGGCTTCTCGCTTGATAGTACCGGGGCAGCCTCGACGGATCACATTGTTATTTGAAGCCCCCAAGGGTTTAACCCTGGCTAGAGTCTGGGATTGTCGACAAATTCTATGAAATTTTTATGGCCTAGCTTCCCATAAGACTCATTGCACCTTTTACTCTGTACAAAGTACATCCAAAGTACATCCTCGGACATCTCAGATGGCCGTGTCGATCCCCGGGCCCACCCGCCCCCAATGGCCCCAATGGCCCCAATGGCCCGTGTTCGCGTTTTCGCGTTTTGCGGCTATAATTTCTCCCTTTTCTTTTCTTTTCTTTTCTTTCATCTGTACGGAGTAATTGGGGAGGTATTACGCGTCTTTACTATTAGCTATAGTACTCCCTCAAGATGCAGGCCATTCGTTGCGTTCGGTCTTGGGTGCAGTCACTGCAACTCGGCCTCGTGACTATGGCTGAAGCCATTCGCTCAGGGACATGGAAGGGACAGCAGTACCAGCTCCTTCAAGGGGCTCGACAGAAGTCTCAGTACTATTACTCCCAAAATAAGAAGAGAACTTTTACTATTCCTGGCCTGCTGGTGGCTATGTTGGTCATTTGGTATATCTCCTCGCATCCACTACCTTATTTGACGCCCATCGACGAGCGTGCTTGCCAACATCCAGTCGTTCGACTTGTTTATAATGCTGAGCAGGCTTTTAACAAAACGTTGGAGCACCAGTCAAAGTCGTTGGACGAAGCTGTGGCGGAATATCGACGACGGTATAAGATGCCACCGCCTCCCCATTTCGATGAATGGTATGCTTTTGCAATGTCGCGAAACACAGTCTTGATCGATGAATTCGATACGATATATCATACTTTGCTGCCTTTCTGGGGACTTTCTCCTAGTACGATTCGTTCGCGCGTGAGAGAGGACCTGGGGTATGATAACCACGTTATGGGCATTGCCATTCGCGACGGCAGAGCTATCCATTTGGGCAATGGCCAAGGGGGGTTCCAAAGAGATGCAACAATGAAGATTCTCGACAAGTTCTCTCAATGGCTACCGGACATGAACATGGAATTTAATGTACACGACGAACCGCGGGTGGTAATTCCGCATGAGGAACTGCATATGATGATCACCGAAGGCCGTTCAGCTCACGCTCGGCTGTCTAGTAACTCGTCGCTGTTGAACGTATTTTCGCCGGGCGATGTGCATGATCCTATCCCACCAGTGCCGGTATCCACGACCAGATTCAACAACATCGAACGCCAAGAGACCTGGCTCTACTCGCGGCTTTCATGTCCACTAGACACACCTGCTAGGGCGCTGGATAGTAACGCGCCAGATAACTCAAGTACTTACGCAGTGGGGCCTCTGGGATTTGTGTTCAACCAGACTGCCGCTAGTGATATGTGCAACAGCCCTTCGCTGCGACATCGGCTGGGAGTTTTTGATCACCCAAACGCTTTCAAGGTGACAAACGAGCTGGTCCCGATGTTTTCTATGTCCCATCCGTCTTCATTCCAGGATATTGCAGTTCCCTCGCCATATTATTACGAAGGCATCTCACAGTTCGACGCCGAAACCTCAATTGAATGGAACAGCAAGAAACCCCAGTTATACTGGCGCGGGAAAACCACCGGAGGACATAGTCGGAGCGGCACCTGGCAGAACCTGCAACGTCAGCGTATCATCGGAAACCTGACCCATCCACAATCGCCCCAGTATCTTATGCAACCAAAGAGCGGTTCAAGGTGTATTGCGGACCACAGTGAAGGCTGGGAGGTGCAAGTTGCAAATCGATCCCAGATCGAGGGATACTTCAATACCCATTTCACGGAGATCGTGGATTGCGACGAGGACTGCTATGACGAGGAAATGTTTTTCAGCGATCTCGCGGAACAAGACCCAGCAAGCGAGGCTTGGAAACATCGGTATCTGTTAGACATGGATGGCCATGCCTATAGCGGGAGGTTTTACGCTTTCATGCGCAGCAAGAGTGTTCCATTCAAGGTGACCTTCTTTCGGGAGTGGCACGAGAACGTCTTGTTCCCATGGGTCCACTACGTGCCGATTAACAAAGAAGGGAATGAGATTCCTGAGTTGGTACGGTTTTTCGAGGAAGATCCTGCTGGCCAACAGATTGCTCGAACCATCGGTGAAGAGGGCCAATCTTGGGCGGCCAGGACGATCAGAAATGATGATATGGACGTTTACATGTTTCGACTTTTCTTGGAGTAGGTTTCACGGAGCACATGGTCAATGTTGACTCTACTAACGTGGACTTGTAGGTATGCCCGTGTGCAAGATGACCAGAGAGAGACCCTGGGATTTCAATTGTAGACGCCCCCGTGGAAGATCATCAGTTTTCTAACAAAACCCCTACGAATGTGGTCGATGGGTACTCGAACCAATCCGAGTCTCAAGCACAACAGTGCCACTGCATTCCTAACTCACCAAGATGAGATGAAGTGGCCACTGGCATGGACCGCTGCTATACGAGTTGCGCATATTCCTGTTGCCTGCAGTCTGGATAGGACTTTTCATGGTGAATGTGTGCCAGGCGCTACAGTATGGTCTGCGGTTGTACATCGAATGACCCAGTTGAACACTTTGCGGGTTACGGTTTGCTCGAGAACTCTGGGCGCGGAGTCAATCGGCAACCGGCCTATCTGACAATGATGTCGGGTTTAAACAAGCTTAAACTATTGCGAAGGGGACAGCCTGCGTGAATTGGGGGGGGGGGGTAGGGTTTCTCTCGGTTTATATTTAAGCTGAATGGGAGGTTGTCCCTGCTACGGTTGCTTAGTCTGCGACGGGTTGAGACTTGTATGGAATTTGAGCGACAGTTGACTGGTTCATGAAGCTGTGTCGTTACCTGACTACTTACATATTATTTAATGAACTAAATGGATATATATCTCGGTTTCTTTCTACTCCAATATGACAATGCCAAGGTGTAGAGAGACGTAGTAATGGCTCCCATTGAAGCTATAGACCACGGAAAAGGCAATAAAAAAACAAATGGACTAACATCTTTTCTAGTAAAGTTGAGCGTACAAAGATCCCAGGTGCGGAACTGCCCAAAAGCATCAACAAGTACACTCTTAACCCGCTGAATCCAGTCTGTTATACTAACCTTCATTCATCGTCCTAGAAAACAACAAATCCTGCCCATCCAACAGAAACCTCCCCAAGAAATCCAAAGAAACCCAACAGTATTTCTGTGGTGCTCCCTTCAAGAACCCCTCAACGAGGGCCTCCTGCAAGCTAACGGGCATCTTCAACCTCCACAGTGTGAGAATCTCATATCCGTACTTGGATTCACTCAACCCGGCATTGAACTCCGCATTGCCGATACCTCCATCATCAGGAACTTCCCCTGGGATTTTACCCGGAGAGATACGGGCAACGTATTCGATTCGTTTGATAGGGCTGGTGGTATAGAACCAGATGTGTTGGATACTTGATGGGAGAAGATAGCTGCGATATTCGTGGTTCTTGGTCCTCGAGGCGATGTTTTGCACGTGCTCCGGTTTTATGCTCATGAAGATGTCTGAGGTTGACTTGGCCATTTTGATGGTGGTTTGGTTGGATTTAATTTTCTTGGAGGTGTGTGGGATTGTGCTGTGTTGATGCGGGGTGTTTTCTCATGCAAGTTTATAGAAGTTAAGGCGTTGATGCAGTCAGCTGTATGGATAATAGATGTATATATTATTTTTATCATCCAGACCCTCATCAAGTGAGTTGTCCCGACAAACGCTATAGCAAAGGAAGACATACAATCCCATAGAGATAGGAACCACGATAGGTCCATAAGTTAAGAAAGTACTGTCTGTGTACAAGGAATAATGCCTTAGGTAACGCCAATTCCCCCCAAAGAGAAAAAGGAATGGGTAATTACAAGAGCGTCCAAAGAGAGTGAATACAGAAAACCCCGAAAACAAAAAGAAACAAGACCAAACAGGGAAAGACCAGCCTTCACCATTCAGGTTCAGGTGCAAAGCAAAGAGTCTACGAAGCAGCAGCCCACTCGACAACCTCCAGAGCACACATCACAAGCACGAGGGTTGATGGGAGGATCCTGGAAGAGAAAAAAAAGGCCATGTTAGCAATGATCAATGCCAATGCTTGAGATCGACGACCAAGGGGTAGGGGGTGTCTTTTCTCTATGAATAGGAGGGATAAGGACTTACCAAACAACGTAACTCTGGAACAAGAGTTTCGACATAGCGCCAACATAGACATTATTGATCTGGCAGATCTGCGCCAACTGCAAGGCTGATGGCGCACCCGTGAGCAGGAAGCAGACAATAATGAAAATCGGATCGTCGAGAATACTAATCGGCACAAACTTGGCCATGACCGCCAAAATTGGAGCCATGATAAGAGTCGGAAGAAGCATGCGCGCAACAAGTGAAGCGATGATAAGCTTGCGCTCGTCGCGGGGATGTTCCACATCCGCCAGGGCCTCTTCGGGGATTGTATTGCGCGCGAGGTTCGCGCCGAGCACAACCAGGATTAGCGGAACGGCGACCTGTCCGTTCGACTCGATTGCGCGGGTGACTGAGTTACGTACGAAAGTCCCATCGTCGAAGAAAAGGCGCTGCAGTGCCGGGACAGAAGCGACGATGATGGATACTAGCATTGCCCACAGGGGCGGGTTCATGAAGTCCCATAGGCCATGGAGGAAGCGACGTAGTCCGAGAGTGGTCGATGCGAGGCCCTTTTGGACGTTTGACGGGAGGCGCGCGTGGATCGCGTTAATTTTCTTTTCGCGCCACTGGCTCAGGCGGTCTCGCGATTTGCGTAGAGATGCTTTGTAGCGCTGGAAACGCGTTTTCTCGGCTTCTTGGGCTTCGCGCGCGGTGATTTCAACATCCGGAAATTGGAGGATGTCGCCTTGGGAGCTTTGGCGGGGGAGGAAGGGCCCGGTGGGTGGTGGTCCAATTACTGAGGGTGTATCATCTGAGTCAACATCGTCTGAATGGGTGGAGGACAGCTTCGAGTAGGAATAAGCTCGCGTTGACACGGGGGTTTGGTCGCCGGATGGGAACCGGCGGTCGGTGTGTGTCGCGTGGTGTAGATCGTCGGAGCTTCGTGTCCTGACTAGGGGTTCGTCCGGGTCTGTTTGGTCCGGGTTGTCGCTATACCGCGCCTGGCCCTGTTCGATGATTGATTGGCCACTCTCGTCGCGTTCCCCCTCGAGGTATCGATCCTTAGGCGCCAAGAGAATGTGGTATCCCCAGCTCCAGCGCACGAGTTGACCTAGCTGCTGGAAGATCAACAGGTATAGAATGCCGCGTGCAGCGACTTCGTCGTCGTTGTCGTTTGGGAGCCGGTCCCAGTGGAGGCCTTTAAGGGTCTGCGAGAGCGATATGACGAGAGAGATCGGAAGAGAGTTTGAATTGCCAAAGACCTGCAGAGAAGGGGTCGTTAGGATATGACATTCGACTCTCTCAAATGGCAGGGCTCGCTACATACCGCCATGGCAGCCACGAAATTGGACTGCCGCTTTTTGAAACGGCAACATTTTGCGACAACGAAGGAACACAAGTATGAGACGAGAGTCTGGACAATAAAAATAACCGGGATGATAGCCAGGTCCGTCAGCTTTTCGGCGGTTAATTGTGAGCCCAATTTGGTAAAAACTGTGAACAGGAATCAGCTACGCCACACAAATATTTCATCAGAGCAGAGGAATCCATACTGAGACAGGGGGTGAACAGAGTCACATTGAGGTTTGCCACCAGCTTCTGAGCATCGGCATCAAACATGCCCTGACGGGCGGCAATGTAACCAGGGAAGCTGACGCAGACGACTTCCAGCACGGCTGAAAAGACGAGCAACACTAATTGAAAGAATGGGGGGTGACTTTCATGGGCGCTTATGAAGAAGCGGTTGCCCATTGGGACCTGGGCAATAGCATTGACATTTTGAAATGATCGGGGTAAGTTGAAGATGGCCATCAGTCAAAAGATTGTTAGATGGGGAAATAAGAAGTGAAGAAGTCAAGGAGAGTATTCGCCTTTGGACATAGAAGCTTGGCAGTCTTCCAAGGTTGCCCACGTTGATAGCTCTTTGGCGGACATTTGTTGCCTTATCTTTTGTACTGCATTCACTCTATTAGCTTATGAATGGCGCAATGCTTGTAATTTAAATACCATGTCTACTATTTCTGAATTAAATTACTTATATTATTCTACTACATTAACCTAGTACATCTTGACATCTTTAACATAAGGGCACCATTGGGAGGCAACAGGCAACCTTGGAAGTAGAGAGACGAGGGTAATGACGCATTTGGGGAGGCGATAGCATCACGCCAAGATATGATCTGTGCTAATCCGAATTAGGAAACATGCACAATATATACTTCAAAAGGGTAAATTGTATAGATCAAAAGAGAAGGGAAAAGAAGGTAATGTGATTAAAGTAAATGTTCAAGACCCTGATCTAAAGTAAAGGACTGGTATAATACAAGAACAGACCTCCAAATCATGCAGGTCGGAATAATTCTTAACAAGGTACCGCTGTTGGCTGTGCATCGGGGCTGTGCAATATCATGCACTCGACGCCTCACCCACAAAGCCCAATTTTTCGCCTACTTTGATGCGCTGGCCCTTTTCAATACTCCAAGTCCACCCATCACTGGGAACATCTTCCGGCCAGCCGGCATCAATGGACTTGCGAGTTCCAAGAGGAGCCTCGAACACAAGTACGATCGAACTGCCAAGTTGGAACCCACCCATCTCCTCCCCACGTTGTAGGGGATGTCCGTCAAGTGTCCGGCTGGCGTGGCGGTAAGTCGCCTCAACAAAGCCGGGATACTGCTCACCGCGCTTAGAAGCCAAGGCAGCGGCCAAGTCCGCAGCGGTATCAGTCAACAAGCTGTTCGTACGCAGCTCGGAGTCAAAGTTGATTTTAATGGAGCCTACATTGGTAGCTCCGACCGGCGTGTAACTGAAGAAACCCCACCGCCATCGGCCGAGGAGTGCAACTCGCTCGTTGAGAGTGAATAGACCGGGTAGATGCCTCTGCAAGTATGGTGAAACCGAGTATAACTCGCCAGCAAAGTGTCGGCGGCTCTCGACCACCCAGGGAGCTGGGGAGTGGAAACGGTGGTAGTCACCGGGTGCTAGGTAAATCACAACGTAGAACAAGGCATGATTGGCTGCTGTTTTGGGTGCGTACCACGGTGTTCCATCCCCACGAGCCAGATCCTCTTGCACCTGGATTTCCGAGGTTGTTTTGGATGCGGTTGAAGCATCCAATGAAGCACGACGCTTAGGAGCATCGGAGTCTCCTGAAAGAAGGGTGGGGAGAGTGTACGAAATCCCATTCATGCGCGCAAACTCTTCATGCGCAGCCATGTTCTCGACATCCTTTTGGGTTTCTTTCCGGCCCTGGTCGGAGAGTCGCTTGGTGTGGTCGGCGTGCGCAGGCGTGGCTGATCCAAGGAGGGCATCCAGACTGTATGTCATTCCCTTGACTTGCTCAACCTCGCCCCGTTCGATCATTCCAAATTGTAAGATACGGCCGTCGGAGGGAGCCAGAAGAGCACGAGGGTCGGGGTCCAATGGTCGAACGCCAGGCTTCAGCTTACGGTAGAAGAATGCCGCCAGATTCGGGTAAGTGTGCAGATCGGGCTCGGCAACCTCCTCGAGGTTGACGCCAAAGGCCCAGGAATAGAGTTTGAATCCAGGAACGCGAAGGTAGTAAGGAAGTTCGATTTCGTTGAACCGACCCCATAGACGTGACATTGCCTTCAGGGGCAGAGTGGACATGATCTGAACATGCCACGGACCTGATAGGCTGATCCTCGGACGAGGAGGTGGCCGTCTCCCTTCTTCCCATTCATCGCCAGCTGCATCGCGAGCCAGCCGATCCCGTTCCGCACGTTGTGACTTGTAGAAAGACAGCAACCCTAGCAACCCGATTCCGAGTCCGACTGGGATGGGATACCACTCGACTTTGGTATTGCGCAGAGCGAACCCTAGCCTTGACCCAAATCCTCCTCTATTGTTTTCAGAATTATTGTCCTTGTTATATTGTCTCCATGATTTAGACGAAAAATGCCGGAGGCTGGCCTTATGGCGGGCGGTGGCCCGGAACGAAAGAACCTCCATCGACGCAGCCCCGATTCGAGGGGCAACGGAAGGGCAGTGAAGGACAGGCGAGGAAGTGAAAAGGCGCTTGGCCATAATGTTTAATCCATCGGCCTGGAGCGCTAAAATCGACCCCTAAGCCCAGAGCGTTTTTTTCCGAAATGGGGAAACATGTTGTTGCCGGTTGACCGCCCGGCAGAATTGCACGTGGAGATACAATGGATGGCCTGTCTTTCTGTCTACTTTATATATCCCTGATATACGTTATTATAAATGGGCGTTCCTGCGATTTGAACCCTTTGCGTCTTATATTATCCTCCATTATCTTTTCCATTTCCTTCCTAGCTGCTATAGAGTCTCGCAGAGGACAGCAACATCGATATCGCTTATCGACTGATTGATGCCAGATATCAGCAATCAGATCAGCTCCATATGGGCTTTTTAGCTTGCAGACAACTATAGTTCTGAAACAATGGCGACAGGATCGTCATCCCAGCCCATGTTAGAGGGGGACACACCGAGCACAATCACACTTCACATACTCTGCCAGTCTCTACCCCCTCCAAGCCGGTTTACACTCGAGAACGTTCCACTCTCCTCCACAATCGCACAGCTCAAGAGCCGGATTGAACAATCCTTTCCGAATAATCCTCAAGCATCACACCAGAGGCTCATCTACCGAGGGAAACCCCTCACTGTAAATGACGCAACACTCAGAGCAGTAGTCTCATCTATGGAGGTAAGTAACTTGTTCCGAACCTGCACCATATGACCTTATGTCCTAACTGAATGGGATTGCGTTTGCAGGAAGGCATTGATAGTATGCACCTCGTGCTACCACCTGAGGCGACACACACAGAAGCACCTTCTACCTCTCAGATGCCGCAACATTCGCCTCTCGGGGATTCTGCCCAAGCTTCCACTTCCTCCTCCACCTGGCTTGGTGACTCTAACCCTGATTATTCGGCGACAGCAGCTAGCATGTCCCCATACCCGAGAATTCCTAGGACAATGGATTCAACTCCAGCTTCTCCACGCGTGACAGTCAATCAATACGTCAACGCCTCTTCATTTAACCAACACTCAGAAACTACAGATGCAACAGAAGCCCATGGTGCAGAATTCTCTCAGCGTATCCGTACTTTACGAGGTCACATCGAGGAGATCGAGAGACAGCTGGACCGACGCATCATGCCATCCATGGAGAATATCATCCGCATACGGAACCAGCTTCTTGAAATTCAAGATGCACGACCTGCGAGTCAACTTCCTCTGCCTGGTGTTGCAGAACTAGTTGCTCGTATTCTTGATACTCAACAACGCGCCCGTCTCATGGAATATATGCAACAACAGCATTTGCAGACAAGCGGTATAGCTCAGAGCGCCGTTGTTGCCCAAACAAGTGTTCCGACCACGCTCGGATCCAACTCCACTCAGATCTTCATGCTCGCCTCGCCAATGGAAGATAATCATAGTGGTCGCGGGAGACAGTACCACTTAGTAACCCGACCCATAACGCAGCAGGCCGTTTCGTCCAATACAGCCCCCACCAACGAATTTGGCGCGCCTCGAGCACCTCCAGCACCCCAGCCACCACAAGCGCCACAAGCACTACAAGCACTACAAGCACCACAAGGACCCGGCCAAAATGCAGCGGTAGTCCACGCCGTCCGCCAAGCGATGCTCAACCAGCAGCGCCGCGGCCACAACATCGAGCACGCCGGCCTGGCACGACATATCCGCCGCATCTGGCTATTCACCCGTTTATGGCTCTTCTGCTACCTCACCAGTGCCCCTGGCACCTGGAGGCGTTACATCTTTGTCAGCATTGCCTTGCTGGTAACGTTTTTTTCTGAGACCGACATCCCACGGCAGTTTGCGACTACGATTATTAGTCCCATCCAACGCCATCTCGAGGGCCTGACCCATGCCGGTGGCCCGGCAGATCGGGCCACCCAAACTGGAGCCAATGATGTTGCTGCGGAGTTCAGTATTTGGGACCAGATACGCCGCGCGGAGCGAGCCCTTGTTTTTCTTTTTGCGAGTTTAGTCCCCGGTCTCGGTGAGCGGCACGTCCAGGCTCGCACTGCAGCAGACCAAGCTTTCTTAGCTGAGCAGGAGCGTCAAGTGCGGGAACGTCAGGAGCAGGAGCAGGCACGGGAGCGGGAGCGCCAGGAGCAAGAACGGGCTCAAGCTGGTGTGACGGAGGACGCAGGAAATGCAGGTACTGAACAAGAGTAGGTTACTGCCGCGCATGCATTGTTTGGACAGGGTTCAGCAGTGAGCTGATCTATACCGGGAGGTACATTGCTTTTCATGTTCCTATTTTTAATTAGCGGTAGCGTCCTTCATCTAGTTTCTACAATTGAACTCAACGTGAACTGAAATGACCCACGACAATGTCTTCCCTAAAATCAAGTTCGTAAGACGACCAAGCCCTTCAAGTTAATTGTTCTCATCGCTTTGGACTATATGCTCCTATTATGTACATCATGTAGTTCTAGGCGGCTAGCAAGGAATCTTGTTTTCCTGTCTATGTTGTCTTTATCTTATACCGCTAGCAAAAGCTCATTGAGAACGAAAGCCGTCCTAGCATTGCAGTGACAGGTCATAATAGCTCAACTGTGATAGACCAACTTGTCGGTTTGGGGTCATTGTTTCGGAGTCGCTGGTAATCGATGACCCCAGAAAGAAGCAATGATGTCCTCGTCCTATTACTCACGAGCCATTGCCCCAGTATAATTGCGCAAAGTATCAACTCACAGCTTCGTGACGCCTGCATTAACAGGTGGCTCGGAAGATGGAGCCATAGGACCCGTATTAAAGGATTCTTCGCCATCAAAGTGCCTGCCGGAGTCTTTATCAACATCTTCTCTCAACACCAAAAGGAAAATGAAAGGAATGAACTCACCATCCACGCTCAGCACCACCACTCAAAAAGCTACAATCCCCGTTCGCAACACAATCCCATCCACCTCCAACACCACGTCCATTCTTCCACTGCGGCGGGGATCCCGATGCACGAATGAACGTCGTACCTTCCGCAAGTGGCTTCTCATTGGAACTTTCTTTCTGGTCGCTGCTCTGTCCAGCACTGGAAGTAGAAGAAGCCCCCCTCCTCTTAAAAGTACTCAAACCAGCTGTGAAAACATTAAAGTCCTCTTCGGAACTATCATCCGGCATGTGGCCCGTAAGAGCCCGTCCCATGGCAATTAGCGGCGCAGCATGCGCGCAGATCAGGACGGACTTGTTGGTTCTTCGGTCTGGAGGTAGCTCTGCTTCCAGGGCGGAGACTTCAATGTCGATATCGGCGATTATGCCTTCTAGGGCTGCTGCTACGCGGTTGTGGAGCTGCATAATTGTCTCCCCGCGTCTTGAGGGGATGAGTAGGGGTTTGTAGGTTTGGCTGGCTTCTGAGAGGAGGGTTGGGAAGTGGGTGGACATTATTTCGAAGGTTGGGTGGGCCGGGTGGTCGAAGAAGTCTGTTGCGCCGAACCATTCTCTGGATTCCAATTAGCTTTCCTGGTTATAATGTGCTTATAAGGTGCTTCTTTTGTTTGGGAAGAGAGCGAAACGCTTGGTTGGGTGGGATGGAAGGAAGTACAAGTATGAATTGAGGGTATATTACTTACCCTAGCCCGTTTTCAATTCGTACATCAAACTCCGCAAACCGATCAATTGACCCAGACTGGCCATCTTGCGGGCTCTTTCCAGACTCGGCTGATATTCTCTTCAGCTCTTCAACAGATGGTTGGATTGTTTGAAGGCAGCGGTAGAAGGGACTCGAGTAGACACGGAATGGCTTCGGGTGGAATTGAGGGCCGACAATGTGTTCCGCCAGCTCGAATGACTGGTGCACACCGTGTGAGGTCAGCGCCGGGTCTGCTGGGTTTCCTGTTGGCGTGGGGAATTGGGACCTATATGTGCCCGTCCGGAAGTCAATGGTCCAGTTGAGACGGTGCTGTCATGGTTAGGTCTACGAGGCTAGACTTGAGGGGATGGAGCACGTACTCCATGACGGGTCAGATATATAGTGTCCAAAGGCATGGTGTATGAATACTTGAGTTGCTCAGCGTTCAACTATGTACAGATACTGACTTGACTGGCCATGCCGTTGTTGCGGGGCAAAGGCAGAATACATGTACGCCGGGGGCGGTGAAATTTTACCTCGGTCCGTGTTGCTCTACGATAAAAGCAGGAAAAGGAGTCAACGGTACGAATATTGCAGACCGGAATCATCTAGCATTGATATACGAGCGAACCATGTACTCTGCAAACCATCAAAAGTGCGGAACAGGAGGTAATTTGTTCACAGCTACAAAGTCCAGATTACATTCCAGGGCCCAGCCCCGTAAAACCATCGCTATGCAAAACCAGTCAAAGCAAGAACTTTTCTCAATTCTTTTTTAGAACGACTCCATCTAGTAGAAGAAGCCGAGGAGCTTGCCAGCAACGTGCTTGCGGCGAGCCTCCTCGTGGTCCATGATACCGGCGGAGGTGGTCAGGACGACGTAACCGAACTGACGGGAGGGAAGGAGCTGGGTAGCCCACTTCTCGAGGTCACGGAGCTGGACGGGGTAGCGGGGGTTGATAACACCACACTTGTTGAGACTAGAGGTATGAACGTTAGCTAGATGCTCCATTGAGGATGATGGGTGTAATCGTGAATACATACCGGCCGTTGAGCTGGATGACAATCTTGCCGGAGCGGTGGTCATCGACCTCCTCGAACTCGCCAATGTAGCCTGAAAGAAAAGAGTCAGCATGTTGTGAAGATTTAAAAGTCGTCAAATACTGAAAAAGCCATAACAGCGCTTTGGAAACGTGTAAGATCTTCGCAAATTGATATATCGGACACTTAAAAGGCAGACGTCGTAGGTTGTTTGAGACCGGCCGCCTAGTTATCAGCCCGAATGGGTGCGACAAATATTCTCGAGACAGGTGATGGAAAAAAAGCAATGAACAGAAAAAAAAAGAATAAAATAGAGCAACAAAAAGACAAGAAAGAAAATTTCAAACTTCACGTACCGTGCTTCTGCATGACAGCAAGGAACTTGACGATGACCTTGGAGGAAGGACGGATGAGGACCTGGCGCTTGCCGGCCTTCTCGGCGTTGTTCATGGCGTTAAGCGCATCGTTGAGGACGGAGGTCTTGACCATTTTGGCGGTTTAGTAGAATCGAGATTCTCAAATCGTAACGTTTAAAAGTAAAGATTATGAGGTATCTGTTCGACGAAGGCGGTTCAAGTCAGCCACCACTAGTCTTCGAGCGCAAAGAGTGCCCCTTTTTTGCATTGCAAGGAGTTCTTCAGCCCGTGCCGAGTTGGGAGATGCGTATCATCTTGGCTTCCTGGATCGCGATTCCTGAGAATTTTCTATAATTCACATATGGAAGCAATCTAGACAAGATGATTGCATCCCCAGACTAGCTGAGAGGCTGTTGTTGGGGGAGGGCATAGCACATACCTCGAGAGATGGTCGTCGGTGGATGAAGCGGAAGAAGTCGATGATCGGTGAAAGTTTGGTTTTCGGGTGGTGCGCGGGTAGGGTTGGGGCGCGCGGTAGCCCTTATCTAAATAGTCACGTGGTGATAAATATTTACCATATTGATGCCCTAATCCTACAAGGCATCATACTTTCTACATAACCTAACTACACTGTTATACAATGGATGTACAATGTAGCTGAAACTCCAGGGCTGTACCTACACCATGATAAGCATAGCAGCAAACTAAAGATAACTCAAGAGATAAAACGAAAATGGCTATTAAAACTTCAACACAGATAATCATACAGACATCTTTACTTCTACTACTACTAACTCATCAGCACGTCATTCACTTATTCCATCCGTGGGCAAGGTTCAGATGGATGGTTCTATACATGATGTTCCAGCGTGGTAGCATGGTTGTGGGCAAATATCGGCGGCGTATACGAGGAAGGGAGACGAAATCAGGGACAGCTTTTTCATGACAATGACTCTTTCTGGAGGGGGTGACATGAGGGGAAGGGATACATGAATGAAGAGCACAGTAGAGGGGGGTGGGGATACATGAATTCTTGGGCTACATGAGTCGCAATGCTATAAGATGCGAGGGAGGGGGTCTTGTCTAATTAAAAACAACATAGAAGGGGGACTGGGAAAGGTGAAAAGGTGAAAAGGGTTGTATCAAGAAGAAAAAGGAAACTCAGGCAGGGCCATACAGGGATTGGGAAGGGTAACTCATTCGAACGTGTGTCATCAGGGAATTGAGCACCAGCAAAGGGTTTGGGGGAACGGAGTTCGTGACCAAAGGTAGTGATGGGAGGGGATCCTGTGCTGGGAAATAAAGAGGAGAGGGATTTGAGGCTAACGGCCAGGCGCTCGGGTTCGATGACGTCGAGAAAGGGACAGCTACACTGTACACATCAAGAGCACCAATTAGGTGTCGACTCAAGCAGCCCTAGGACCTGTGGCATTGAGGCCAACAGGCCTGATGTGAGTGGCAGATGCTTTGGAGACGGGATCGGACCACAAGCACTGGTAATCAATTGGGAGAGAGATCATGGCAACTTTATGCCATACCAGCACCCAGGTTGATCTGGCGCTTGACCTGTTCGCGGGTCCAGCGGGCAGTCTCAATTGTGCGCTCGCTGTACTGTCTGGTTGTACGAGTCTCTCTCACGAGAGAGGTGACCCAGTCGTTGCGGAAGTAGGCAACGAGCTCGCCGTTGGGGAAGGCATCAGCAAGATCACTAATTAATAGTTAGAATAGACAATCGAGACTAGAAGCTGTCAAGACATACCCAATAACACCCATGGCAGACCGCATAAGACCTTCGCTGCGGTTGCTCTCCTGGGAGATAATGTGAAGAAGCTGGAAGATAGACTCGATGAAAGGCTGGAGTTGGGTAACTGCGTTCTAATTAGCATGCTGACATCGTATCTGGGTGGAGAGTAAAGAGCAACGTACTAGAAGGAGTGCCCTTGTAGGACAGAAGAATACCACCCCAAGCATCCATGATGCCTTCACGGAGAGAAACAATGTAATCCACCATGTCGTATGGGAGGTCGGAGCTGGTGGTCACGCTGGAGGCTTGCTGGAGAACCTGGCCAACGACCGCCAAGTACGTGTCGAAGTTGGTTCCGATGGCCTGGGCGATATCGCCGAAGGTCTCAAGAATCGCAGGCTTGAGCTGGTTGGTGGAAGTCTATTTGAGGAATCAGCATTGGACGTCAACTTCGGTATATCTGAGGAAAACAATCTTACCTGGAGGGTCTTGAGAAGGAGATTCATGAAGGTGTCGCAGTAAGGCTGGACCTTCTCGTTCAAAGCACGAGCAATGTCACTGACCAAGCCGATAGCCATAGAGCAGAGACCGGGCTCTTCCTGGTTGCCCAGGGCGTTATACAGGAACGGGCTGAATGACTCCATGTACTTAATGAAATCGTCCTCAAGAGCACTGGCAATAGCACCAACGGTGGCAAAGATAACATCCGGCACGCTTGACTTGGCGCCAAGGGTAGTCAGTACCTGAAGTAGCACGCTCATGATACGGTCAGCCTGAGGTTTGATCTCAGCCTCGAAGCGCTGGACGATGGCCAGAATGACACTGATTAAGCTAGTCTGCATTTCCTCGAGGAGAATACGGTCCTCAGCGCTAACGACCTGCTGCTGCATGGGAACAGTCTGCTCAAGACGCTGGATAATAACATCCGAGAGAGTTGCAACCATGGGCAGGCTGTCATTGGCAGAATTCATAACAAAGGAGTTAAGAACTTCGTATCCAGCGGTACGGAGCTGGTTATCGGCATCTTGCCTGTACGGGTGTTAGATCAAAAGAATCAATGGGATATCAGTCAGGGAACATACCGCTCGGTCACGGTCAGTAGGGACTTCACACTGTCCTCAAAGTGCTTCGACAGAGGGTTGGTCTGCGAGCCATCGTCACCAGCGAATCGGTCTGCGACGTTCATAAGAGCCCAGCAGCAGGAGCTGGCGATCTTGGGGGAGTTGGCGAGGCCGTTGAAGAGACAAGAGATAAGTGGCTGGAGGTGAACCTCAGGGTCGAGAACCTCGGGGCAGCAGTCACACACACGACCCAGGGCGTAGGCAGTGGAATCCCGGACGGAGATAGAGCTATCCTCCATCATGCCAAGCAAAACAGACAAGGCCTGCTTGATCAGTGGCTCCAGGACACTGGGCTCGGGGCCTTCCATGATGGCGCCGAAAGCAGCGACGGCGGCATCACGACGGTGCCAGTCCTCGTTACGGATGTTCTCCTCGACAAAAGTCACGACGGGCTGAATAACATCGCCCTGGACACACTGGGCATAAAGCTGCATAGCCTGGTAGGCAGCACGGGAGACGTTGTACTCATTATCATCAGCATCCTCGTCCTGTCGGCACATAGATTGAAGCAAGACGGGAACAACCTCGCGGGTAGCGACGCGAGCAAATCCGAAGAAAGGACGAGCCTCAATACCCTCTTGCTGAGCCTATAAAAAATATAACGTCAGGACATGGTCAAAGTTACTCGGCCTCGTGCGCTTGATACATACCTCAGCATTGTCATCCTCGATGGCAATCTCCTCCTCGCAGACAGTACACCAGAACTCAATAGCCAGCTTGGCGACTTCCTCCTCCTCACTCTTCATGCCCATGATGCTCAGGCCAAACAGAGCCTTCTCCATGTAGAAGCGCATCTTCTCGTAGTAGGATCCCATGATGCGGTTCAAGCAGCCGAATGCAGCAGCCTGCACACGGACCTCATCGGCCTGAGTGGCCTCGCAGACAACCTGCATAATGTAGTTGCGCTCTCCCTCATTGTCCATGTTGGTTCGCACGAAATCGACGGCGTCACTGAGGGCGGCGATAGCAGCGTAACGAACATCCATGTTCGGCTCCTCGCGCCGGGCACCCTGGACGACCGCAGTAAGGATAGCATTGGAGTGTTGTGTCAGACTGGCGCGGAGATCGGGATCTTGCGACTCGCAAATGTAACCGATGGCAGTGAGAGATGACTGCTTCAGTGCGTCGTTTCCACTGGCGACATTTTGGACAAGAATGCCCATCAACTCGGGCCACTCACCACGCGGCAACTCGATGGCGGCGATGGAAACAATCAGTGTGGCGGCGGCATTTCCAGCGCGAGCATCGGGTGACTGCAGGGTCTTGAGCGCAAGCTCTTTAACCTGTGTCTTGGTTTCGGCGTTGATGCTCTGAGCCCATCGGAGCTGCACCTCGCGCAACTTGGCTTGATCCCGGAAAGTGAAAGCGTTCTTCAAAGCGATACCGGCAGCGACACGGATGTGGGCGGGGCTGCTCTCGTTGGCAAGTTCCTGGCCGAGGGTGATAAGGTAGGCAGCCTATCGGGCGACAGAAGTATCAGCATTCGGGATCCTGGGGAAATCTTTCATGGCTCGTGGCAGGACGAAGGGGGGGGATAAGGGGAGACACATACGAAGTCAACCTCCGCAGCGTGAGCGAGTTGCTGCTCGGCATTGCTACGCTCGGCCGCATCTGGCGCGAGGGTGCTCTGCAACACCTGACGGGCGTCCATGATGTGCAAAGAAATGAAGGATGTGGGGGGAAGAGAAAAAAGAAGGAAAAAAGAGGTGGAGAAAAGATTGGAAAAAAAAGACTTTAAAACCCCTCTGGACCCGAATCAATCAAAGGGTTCGACACTCGGTGATCACCACGATAGAAGCTGTGGTGGAAAGAGGATTTCCTGTGGAAGAGTGGGAAGAAGGGACGGGTGTTTTTGTGGATATGACGAGGCGGCATGCACTAGGTCTTTCCGCGACAAGAGGCACAGAGAGGAAAAGGTGCCTTGAGTGCACGCCCAGATTTCAACACACAATAATTAGGTGGGAAAGTCTGGAGAAGATGGTAATAGCTGTGGAAGTGAAAAATATGTAAAGAGACTAAAACAAAGATTCGAAGCAAGAAAGACCACAATGGGTGAGGTTCTACGGGGGGGCGTCGCCCTCTGATTGGTCCCTGAGCTGGGGTTAGTCATGTGCACGTGATTGTGTGCCTCAGGCAGTATTTCTCCCTTGCTCAGCCAAGGACTTTTGCTACAAAAAAAAGTGACGGATCTGAGAGTCTCCTACTTTGACGAGCTCCATTTTGAATGTCATTCTCTACCTGTTCTCGCTAAATTTCTTTGTAGCTCGGGGAGTATCATCAGTGTCGAGGCAATGTAAATTTTGCGCCTGTTGCATCTCCATCGGATTTCCCACCATGACGGTCTCAACTGTATCGAGACTTAACTACATACGTGTATAATGCACGCAAAAAAGGATTATAGCTTATCCCTATTAGTATATAAAAAAATTCCTCTGTACGGTTTATGCTTTTTATTGCCTTAGGATATTATACATATTAGAGCCAATGTACTATTCGTTGTCATTGAAGGTAAAAATACCGGGAAGAAAAGATATCAAAAAAGATATCCCGGTGCTCTGGTTCATAACATCCCTTATATCATCTTGAGCCAGATAAATCAAATCATTGTAGTCCCAAATTTTCATGGACAAAGGCCGCATACACGGCCGAGTACTCTTATATATGTAGCTGTATGAAAAGCAAATGTTATCCAATATGGCTGGGCAGGACCTCTATTCCTCGCCTAGATTGGTCTTCGGTATTCTCGTTCCATTGCTCTGGCACAAATCATTTGACATCATTGTAGTGCCTTTCATCCGTCTAAATCAATTGCACTGGAACGAAAACATTGATATTCCCAGGAATGTACATCTCACCAACCTGGATTCCCTCGGCTGGGGTAATGCGGTATCCACCCATCATTACTGCAGGTCTCAGGCGAAGTGTTTCTTTTGACATATCTTCATCTAGATGGAGCTGCAGCCTCGATGGTATTGCGGGATTCTTGGCCAGATAGTAGAGTGCAGATGGCAAGGTAGTAGCCGTAGTCTCACTGCCAACAACTACAACTACTTGTGAATCCTCATCAAGAGCAGCTTCAGTCGGAGCCGCAAATGTATCCTTCTCGACATAGGTTCTTAATAGCCACGAGACAATATCCTGTGGTGGTGTCTATATTCCAATCCTATATTATAGGTATCGTGATGCTTACATGTGCAGAGATGAACTTGCGTACCTTTGCTTTTGCTCAATCTCATCCCCACACCACCGAATGAAACTGAAATATCCAGGCGCCACTCCTGGGATACAGCTGTTCAAAAGCCAAGGAACATGACATAGTTTTCCGAGGATAGCCTTATGGTCATGAACGCCTTTGATCGCTGGACTGGATATTCGATGCATGTAGCCAGGTTGTGGAACTATTTTCTAAACCCAACATTCCCATGATGTCAAATCTGAACAACATGGACTAGACACTGGCATCGATAGGTTGACCTAGACTGCTTTTGATATAATGAGCAAACCGGGGTACCTTGTCTCTAACACGTGGCTCGTAGATCGTAAGAGCTAGACATTCTTATCAATGATGTTGTAGGAAGAAAGGACTCAAAATCCGAGATTGCCCTACCTACCTGTGATACTGAACACACGGTCCCACGCCTTTCGGCGCTTTCAGTGATCCATTATGCCGCGCGAGTGATGGACCGAACAAGATTTAGACTGCGTTGACACCTGAGTATAATATGTTAACATCAAGCACTTAAACTGGGGACCAAATATCAACGGTACGGCTGATTTGCGAAAAATGCAGATCTCCCGCGGTCCTACAGAAATGCAAGTTTTTTATAAAAAAAAAAAAAAAAAGAAATAAGCCTCGTGTTATGCACCCACAATCATCTCAGACCGACCTGTTCAAATAAAATCGCCGTATGTGTCATGCGGCTTCTCAATTCCCACATTGTATTGGAGTAGTATTGTTGGCGCCAGGTGAATAGGGCCCATGTCGTGGGAATTTTCGAGAGAAAGGACTGTGCTTCAGCGATCTTCAGCTGTACAGCCCCTGATATTTCGCCTCTAAAGATCAGGCCCCACGAAGCAATCGCTGAATGGCGGTTTATAGGAGTCAAATTGTAACTAAGTGGAGTATGCATGCAGCTATTCCTTTAGCCTTTGCTCCATTTTCATGTCTCGATCTCATCTCCCCTAACCGCTGCAACATCACAGACTGGGCCTGATTTAGTGAAACCAATTGATAAACAACGCCACTGCTCGAGTTACTTGTCCCCGCAACGGAAGGGTCTAGCTTGACGCTATAACTAGTTAATGACTTTTTATTTCCGGGTATCGAACGGGTGGCTCATTAGCGTCGTGCAACTTCCCGCTGTGGAGAATGACGGGGGCAGATTGAAATCGTAATGAGATTAGCAGAAATTTCAATTCCAGTTTGTCAACGCTATGCAACAAAGGGAGTCGATAGTATCAAGAATATTTGAGTGGTAACCCAATGTTGATATTGCATCACAAAATGCTATAGATGCCAATCTCTTGGTGAGTATTGGCTTTTTTACGGCGGTAATAAATGTATATTTACTTAGAAAGACATGCGAAGATGTCAAGCCCAACATAGCCCTGGATAGAAAATTTGACATTTCATCCCTAACTACGTAGAAAAACCGGCATTCTCATACTTAAAAAGATGTTCCTAATATGACCCGGAAAGTTATGAACAAAGGAACAACAGATACTCCGTATTGGTTTAGGACGAAAGAAGAACCAGGTTGTTTGACACCGTTGAGTCACCCGTGTACCATTCCAAGGTTGGCTTGTTCCCTTACTCCTCCAGAAGGCCCTTCAACGTCTCAGCAAGTGTAATTTTAGGTGCAGCGATCTCCAGTACTGTCTTGCTCGTGGTTGAAACTGAACATTTCCCTTCCCATGCTGTCACCAGAGCATGTTTGACAGAATAAATCACATTCTTTGATTGATTGGTTGCCGCATACTGGTATTCCCAAATCTGGTCAAGGAATGATGTGTCCTGATAGGTGACTTTCTCAACCTTCGTACCAATGTACTGCTCAACCAAGTCCACTGTCTGCTGCCCAGTAACGTCTTCTGGTCCATTGAGGACATATTTGGCCTTATTGTGCACAAAGGGGTCTTCTTGGGACAAGAGATGAGCCGCAAAGACTCCAACCTCGGAAGAGTCGATGACACCGACAGGTGCATCTTTCGATGCTATCAATTTGAGATCTCCCTGCTTTCCTGTTTTGCGGTACTGTTTGATAAATTCCACAGTACTAGCAAGGTAGAAAGCCGAAAAGGTATTAGGCTGTAGTGAAGTCCACTGTAGGTTGGTGAATTCGGGCGAGCTTAGGAGAGCCTCAATCGCCCAGTGGGTACGTGTATAGTAAGCGGGAGAATCTGGGCGGACATTCACAGCAGTGGTAGAGATTCGCACGACGTATTTAACACCTGCGTCCAAGGCAGCAATATGGAACGTGGACTCTTCGACGAAGGCATTCGGGTCATTGTGTGGGGCAATGAATGCTCTGGTTATTTGGTGTTCACGGAGCCAGTCAGAGGTGATATCAACCCAGTTCTTCTCTATCACTTCAACTCCAGGCACCTTGGCAAGCCTTTGTGCCACGGGACTCTTCGAGGAACGAGTAAGGGCAATGACACGGTGGTCAGACAAAGCATTGCTTGATTGAAGCAACTTCGGTAAGGTTTCGACAACGGCTTGGCCAGTGTTGCCTGTGGCACCCACAATGAGAATAGTAGGAGCCATGTTAAATGAAGAAAGGTATTGTTCAAACAAATTTTAAGATAAGATGTGTTGTAACTGTGTCATCCATCGAGGGACTTGCTGTGAACTTATACTCGTGCTCGGCCTCTGCAATTTATAAATTTGCAGCTTATAGTGGAACTAAATGTCCATGGAAGAGTAAATTACTAAAGAAAGAAGCAACTTGAATAATACATAAGGTTAGTAAAAAGGGTATAGTAGCAGTGGCATCCCACTAGGTGGCAAGTGGGAGACCGGTGGGAGGCCGACTGGGGCGGCTTACGGGGAAGTCGGGACTTTCGTCATATTTCGCCCTCACATTCTCTTTTACAAAAATTACAGACCCTTATGGAGGAAAGGGATCACCTATATGAAAGGTTTTCTGTCACTCCCGCCTTTCTCTCTTTAATCATCAACCACACCACCCAATATGCCTAAATATAGTCATTTTATTGGATATCGGATCAATAACGTATTTCACCACCGAGTGGCCCACACCACCGAGTGGCCCACCCCATCCAAAACGCGTCAATTAATTTAACCCCTTCTTCTTCAACCACCCACCATGCCACCAATACGCTCCCGGAGCTCTAAAAATTCAATAGAGCAAGAGGGTAGGGTCTTACTAGCTATCCAGGCTTTTAAGAACCAAGAAATCTCTTCAATTCGTGAAATAGCGCGCCGTTTTAATATACCACGTACAACTCTTCGCCACCGAATTGATGGGATACAACACTACGCGACTTTACGCGCTAATTGCTCTAAATTGACGGAAATTGAAGAGGAATCTCTTCAAAAATAGATCCTCTCTATAGACTCTCGTAGAGCAGCCCCTCGGCCCTCTATAGTACGAGAAATGGCAGATCTTCTTCTATAAAAGCGTAGAACTACCCTAGTTCTTTCGGTCGGCTAAAATTAGGTTATAAAATTCGTAAAACGATATCCTCTCCTCTCCTCCCGATTCTCGAAACGGTATAACTATAAGCGTGCGAAATATAAAGACCCTAAAATCATTAAGGAGTGGTTTGATCTAGTTTAAAGAACTATCCTTCAATTTAGGATCGACCCTAACGATATCTATAACTTCGACGAGACTAGTTTTGTAATAGGGTTAACTATAACTATAAAGGTTATTACGCGGAGTAAATACTACGGTCGGAGGCCGGTTTTATAACCTAGAAATCGTGAATAGGTGATAGTGGTTGAATATACGAATGCTTCTAGATAGGCCCTTCCTCCGTATATGATTTTTAAAGGCAAAGTCTTTATTGAATCATAGTTCGACGGCCTTCCGGAGGATTGGCGCTTCGAAGTTAGTCCTAACGGCTGGACCTCTGATAAGATTGGACTTCGTTGGCTTAAAAAGCTCTTTATTCCTAGTACTACGCGTACGAAGGGGGTATACCGGCTTTTAATTCTCGACGGCTATAGAAGTCATTTAATACCTAAATTTGATGAACTTTGTGAGCAAAATAAAGTTATATCAATCTATATGCTAGCGTATTTATCTTATCTTTTATAACCTCTTGATATTAGTTGTTTCGCTGTGTTAAAACGTACGTACGGTCGGATGGTTGAAACTAAGATACGGAACGGGATCAACTATATTAACAAACTTGACTTCCTCGAAGTATACCCTCTCGCACGAATTGAAGCTTTTAAATCGGAGACGATTAAAAATAGCTTCGTAGTAGCCGGTTTAGTCCTATTTAGACCCGACCGAGTGATCTCAAAGCTTAATATCCGGCTCCGAACACCTACCCCCCCTTCTAGTAGGGGTAGTGATTGGGATCCTAAAACCCCATCGAACTACGTCCAATTACAAAAGCAAGCATCGTCAATTAAAGCATTGCTTCGTACACGATCAAGGAGCCCTCTAAGTCCTCTCAATTCCGCTATAAACCAGGTTTTAAAGGCATGCCAGATCACTATGCAATCCGCCGCCTTTCTCGAGAAAGAAGTAAGCGAATTACGCGCCGCCAACGAGAAGCAGAAGCAAAAGCGTACTAGATCCCGGAGGCAGATACCCGCTAAAGAAGGCCTTTCAGTTCAAGAAGCCTCTGCATTAATTATGCAGCAACAGGAAGCAACTGAAGCACCTCCCCCCGGCCCCGGCATACCTAGAGAATCGACTATCCAGCCACGTACGCGGCCCCCCCGGGGGTGTGGAATATGCAGATTACCAGGACATAGAAGAGAAACATGTCCAGATAGACCAGTTAGTTAGTTGATTTAATTTAATGGCGTTATGGTTGAGATAAATGCATTTAAATTTAATGGGTTGGGTGGGGTGGGCCACTCGGTGGTGTGGGCCACTCGGTGGTGAAATACGTTAAGGCTATTGCCCCAAAGCCCAAAGCCCAGCCCAACCCAACCTGCAAATAGGTTGGGTTTTGGGCCCGGTCCTTAGGACTATCGATAGGCTATAGGCTTATACCTCGAGCCCACTACAGGTTAATAGGGGCCTAAATAGGCGCTAAATAATATATATATATATATATATATATAAGTTATTCTATGTCTATAACTTAGTCGATATCGGTATATCTAATAATTAGCGGAAAGGGGTCGAGAAGCTTAAAGAATATTAGACCTTGCCAACTCCCATCATTTGGTCCCATGGGAGTGATATGCCAGTCCACCAATTCCTATCGAATAAGGAGGTACGACAAGGAGCTGTGAAATGCTAGATCATTCAGTCAAAGTCACTCACTCATCTATCTCCGTTGCATGTACTCCGTATGGCTCTATTACAAATTTTTGGTATATAATCAGGGCTTACAATGAGTACATGCTGAATAATTCGAAGCTGATAGGGTCAAATGGGATTGTGTTGGATTATCCTATAGATCTCGAAGTCAAGTCACTCGCACGAGAGTCGCGAGTGTCCACAATATCTTACCCACGAGCCCTAGGCCACTTACTATCTTATTCATTTCTATGCCCCGCTCTGCCTTTATCTTTCGATAAGTAGAGCGTCCTAACTCTTAGTCTCCCAATCTCTCCTAGTACTAGTATAGTTTATACTATATAGATCTTGCTATTTTCCGGGCGGGGGCGCCTCTCGAGGACACAACTAGCCGGAGTCCGTAGGAGTAAGGGAGTAATTCCAGCTAGGTGAGAGCTAGACAAGAGCTAGGCAAGAGCTAGCAGGAAATTCTTTCGGCCGGACCACGGAGCAAGATAAATAAAATAAAGCTCTAAACCCCCCAATTTAAGAACGAATGACCTATTCCGTGAGGTGATAAGGTGGTAAGGTGGTGATATACAATTTCTCCTATATTCAGCACTCGAATTGTTTTATGAAATTCAATAAGAGACAGTGCAATGACGGAGTGATGGCCGTATTGTTCATCATCGAGGTGACGTGACTTGATAAGAATGCGTTTCTGCCAAGGGATTGCCAAGATACTGCCAAGTCAATCCGGTTTTGTTGTGGATCTGGAGGGGAATACCTAGGGTTTGGAAGCAACATGGGGGCCAAAGATCTTAAACTAGTGCATACATAGTGAAGGCTAGGAGAAGTTCGAAAACCGCACTTATTTGTCGAGCCCTAGATTGACTCTAGCACCGACTCTAGCATAGTGCCTTTGAAGCAATGTAACACCACACGAAGTTCTTCGACCTATGGATAAATCTACTTAGGTACTATAAACAGAGCGAGCACGGTCAAATAGTTAGGGTAAGGGGACATACGCACTTTAGAACTTGTAATTCTTTTACCACGTTGCTTCCAAGATTTAACTCCAAGCCTCATAATTCTTGAACTTCTCTTATTACTTGCAGCGATGCAGCTCTCAGACCTCACACCTTCCAGGAAAACCCATCGCACGGGGATAGCCGTGGCCCTGTGGCCCACTGAGGCCAACGGACCGAGGGCGGACACCGACCCTCTGATTTACCGTCTCAATTATATATTTGATATTCATATACATACGCGTAAAGCTTGTATGTTATGTACAAAGATTTGGGGGCTAGAGCATGATATATATGTAAGTTTAGACAATGTCAAATTGATTCCATAGCGCACAAGCAAAGACCAGAACTACCTAAGCTGAGCCTTTCGCGACCCCTCCTCCTTTTTAAGCTTTCGCCCAAGGTAATTGGCATAGCCCTTCAAGCTCACTAGTCCTATCGCAATTAAAAATGCCAGATGGTGAAATCTCCGGTCGCAAGCCTCTTCTGAGTTCCAATGGCCACACACTGGGAGAGAGCCAAAGAGAAAAGCCAGGAGTGTAAAGAGGGTTCTATATTCCCGATACATTTAGTAAGTATCACCAATAGTAGGTATTTATTTGCTTACAGGAAAGTATGTTTGACAAACGGTGCCATAAGGTATTTGACGACGAGGTTACCGGGATAGGAGTCCACAATCAACATGAGGGGAGAAGTAGGTAGCTCATCGTCTAGCTGGCTTCCCGCAGAGGATCCCAGGGATGTGATAGGTGTTGTTTGGAGGTCTTCTTTCTCCATATTAGCGAGACTGGAAATGGAGAGAGGTACGTTGGAGAACTGTGAGAACGAGAAAGTTGGACAAATGAAGATGGGAGTCAAAAAACTAAAACATCGCCTTATCTCCAGGACGGAGAATATTGTCTTACAATAACAATAATAATAGTAATATTCTTATAATAATACGTGACTGTAATGTATAGACAGTATCAAGCTGATACCTAGGTAAAGAATTATTAGAGACTGTCGAATACTAAGTCCGAATACATGGTAGGAGGCTGGGGGCAAGCCACCCCACCTCTTGACTCTACTCTCTACAAAAAACTACTCCTTCCGCGTCAAAAACGGCCATTCATCAGCATCTGTACCTAGTTTTACTACTTCCTACCCTTAGGACCTATATATCCTTTATTACAAGGGTAGTGGCAATTATGTATGTTCTAAATATATGTGACTACTGCTTTTGGTGGCAAGTATCTCCTAAAAGTGCTCTTGTCTTGATTCCTGCCGTCGGCGTTGCTGAGTTTTGTGCTGACTTGAACGCAGTTGACTTCCTCGGTAATCATTCGGCAGCTTTGGCATAATCTTGGCCATTGCTACCCAAGCGCAACAATAGCCTGCGAAGCCAAGACGACTGCGTCTGAGCAGCTGTGATCGCCAACCTGGACCCTGGGCTATAGATCTGAAACGCATGCCAGCCCCCAGGCCAAATATGTAACTCTGCCTCATTCCCATGTTCCCAAAGACGACACGCATACGCGGTATCTTCATCGCGGAAGACATCAGTTGACCCACACTCAACATACGCCGGGGGTAAGTGGGCAAGATCACTCGCGCGTGCAGGTGCCGCGTAAATAATGGAGACATCATCATGTGCTGCTCCCCCTTGGTGATCGCCGCCGCCGCCATTAAGGAGGCACTTCCACGCAAACAAGTTGCTCTCCCGCGACCAGACTCCGTGCGCTCGGTATTGAAAGCTGGAAACGGTGATGTTACGGTCGTCTAACATGGGGGAAAGCAGAATCTGCCCACAGAGGGGCGGGAAGACTCCACGATCGCGGCATAAAAGGGCGACACCTGCTGCGAGCCCGCCGCCGGCTGATATCCCGGCTATTAGGAGCTGGGATTGATCGATTCCCAGACGGCCTGAATGGTCTCGGACCCACTCAAGCGTGGTGTAGCAGTCTTCCAGAGCTGCAGGGTGTGGATGTTCTGGGGCGAGGCGATATTCGACTGTAATGCAGACGACCTGTTCCTGTTGCACGTGCTCGAGCAACAATTCGATCCCCGTGAAGCGATCCCCGGCTATCATCCCGCCTGGATGAATGTATAGGATAGCTGGAGCTTTTCGAGAGGTTGGCGATTGGCAGTGTGCAGATGATGACGGACGAAACACGGACACTTGAAGGTCATCCCCCTGAACGCCTGAGACGGTGTAAGGCTCATGCTGGACCCGCCAATTTTTTAGAATCTCCTCAAGAACAGAAGCCGTAGTCTGTCGCAGGGCATAAATATCCTGGGTCGTCTGAATTGAGAACGACGGCGGGTTGCCATTGATGGCAACGAGTTCCGGGTCATAGACTGGGCATGGGTAGACGTTCGCCATGGCAGCAGTACCAGACGAAGATATTGTGGGATAATATGATTCACCCCTGCTGATTCCGGTGTATTTGCCAAGTAGAAGGCTGAGCAGGAGAATAGACAGGATGAAGCAAGTCAGGGCCCAATGCAATCTTTATAATAAGTCACATAGAAGCCACGAAAGCCAAAGTGCACACCAACCCAGCTACCAAACCTTCCTGTTTGGGAAGTATCGCAACGTCATGGTCTGTGTAGGCTAAGCCCGATATGGACTAGGCCGTTAAGGTAGGCTCGGGGGCGTTCCCACCAGGCTTTCCCACAGGTCAAGGGACAAGGCCCAGAATCCAATATTAATATGTACAAGGTCAAGGGGTACTGCCACATAGTGGCCTTGTGCTGGTCGCAGTCCTTGGTAAGCGGAGCGGGGCGGCGTTTTAGATGCTAGAACCATATTCACAAGTAACATTCCTCAGTCCCACTTAAAGATTTACATTACTATATTCCCGGCACCTCTTTGGCGACAAGAGGCAACTACTAGCTAGTATTATCAAAATATATTCATTCTGGTTCTTAAGAACCCGGGCTAGGTATCTAGGAATCCACCTATAGCCGATGGTGACACATTTATCAAACAAAGGCCTTGTCAAACAAAGACGTGAGATGCGGCTGGCATCTTTCACTTCCCAGAGTTCTTACGAGCCACACGTAAACCAGAGCAGCTCACAGTATGTTTGCGAGATAGCGGTATGGTGGCTGGAACCTCCAATGGCAGGCTCCAGGGATGAGTCAGGAGGAACCGGTATATCCAAGCCGTCGCGAAGGGCCTCGTGCTGTATAGCGTCAAGATCCACTTGGAAGCTGGGCGACAATCTCGCGGCATCGATCGGCAGTTCAAGAAACAGGAACATTGCCTCTTGATATTCTAGGATACTATGCTGGTATCTGGCTCGCTTCACAACGGCAAGGATCTGGATTGTCTTTGACCACAGCACCCGTGACGCCTCCGGGGTGAGTGGATACGGGCTGCGCAGAAGAGTCCAGAGTAAGAACTCTGCAGAGCGTAATGATTTGTTGTTGGGTAAATATCGCTCAAGCGAACCCAGAAATAGCTCGGCAGCTTCAGACAAGTCTCCGAGCTCTAGGAGCATCAGATTGATGTATATAATGCATGCAAGCCTACAGTTATCGGTCCTGAGCCGGTCGCCAACCATTTGTATAGGCTGGTTCGGGTTCGGGTCCGCTGCAATCGGGTAGGAACCTCCTAGGGCGTTGTTCCGGCGTAATTCTGGGCTCAAGACCTGGTGAAGAACGGTGCCAGGCTGGAAGCTCATGAGCCGTCGAGGATACATCTCATACTGGAGCTCGGATTCAGCTTCAGAGGTGGGTAAAAGCCTCAGTATGGAGGCTCTTCGACCGGTATAAGACTGAACGAAACAATGGCTGTTGCTGACCATTTCCTCGGTCGTTATTTCAAAGTCATAATTTGCTTGTGATGCCAACGGGTTGCGAGGGCAATTGAAATAACCATCGCGTGCATTCAACAGCGCGAAACAATTCCACAAGATTTTGCTGTACATGAGATCATGAGCTGTGAATGCTGCCGCACCGCCTCGGGCATCAATGATGTCGTACATTGCCCGCCAATGAAGCCGGAATGTATCCAGATCACCCCACAAGCGTTCTGCGATGGCGAGTTGATAAATTGCTAATATCGTGCCGTTGTCAGGATGCACCCCTCGTGCCCTAGAATACCCCAATTGCCTGCTCACCTCCCCGAGGGCCTTGCTCTTGAAAGCGAGGGATAGGGTTCCCGTCACTTCATTTTTATAGAGATGCTCTCTGTGACGGGCGGAGTGGTACAGCATACCCAGGAACGAGGCAGGATGCAGGCTGTACAGTTGAAACAGGTCTACACTAGGCTCATGTTTGGAAATACCCAACTCGGCGGAATCTAGGAGCAGTGATGGAATGACTCTAGTATCTGTGAATGGGTAGTCAGTATGGGTAGGTATCCAACGCGATGGAAAGAGATCAATACAGTGGTCGACCAGCTGTAATACTGCGGGCGATGACTCGACCGGCAAGGTGTGGAACGGGTCTAGACTGCATGATATCGGCTCCATGAGAAAGATGGCTGGACAAAGTTTCATGCGCTGGCTCTCTTGGCAATCCTTCTTGCTTCCCGCATTGGTATTATCATCAGCTGGAGAAGAGTCGGATAGTATTGGACGTCTCAGGCATGCTTGTTTCTTGGCCGCATAGTCACGCCACCTGCGTTCTCGCAAGCGCTCAGTTACTAAATGAGAGCGGGCATTCCTTCGACTATGGCCGCCCGTCGCATCCACAAAATGAAATACTCGTTTAAAGGACGCTGTGGTGGCAGCGCTGGGTTGACCGGCCAACAGGGGCGACGAAAATTCCATCGTAGGTGATTAGAGCGTTGTTGGGCAAAAACTTTGATGTCTGTCGCACTAAAAGCGCACCTAATAGCTCTCTGTAGGCCATTAGGGTTGTGTGCATGAGAACGAGGAAATCACCTCTCGGCTGATTCTTGATATTACGCTAACCTATCTAGGAATAGCGCCATCAGGCAATGACGTTGCGATACTTCCTAAAAGGGAATCCTAGAACCCATAATGGATGACAGACACACAGCAAGATTTCGCCCAGTTTCCATTGACCTCTATAGTTATTAATAATAACAAAACAAGGTGAGATCAATGCCCGAGGACAGTACTGACCGGAGACTCACGATACTATATAACCGTCTCTGCAACCCATTCTATCGGACACTACAAGCCTTCAACTTTTTTCTCCAACTACGAGATGTCTTCTCTAAATTCTCCAAATATCGTTCTCTACACGACCCAGACTCCGAATGGGAACAAAGCATCCATTCTCCTGGAAGAACTGGGCATCCCTTATCGTGTCTACAAACACGACTTCACCGCTCGAACTCACAAGGAGCCGTGGTATCTGGACATCAACCCGAATGGCAAAATCCCTGCCATCACGGACGTTTTCAAAGATGGCAAGGAGATTCATATCTGGGAGTCAGGCAACGTCTTGAAATATCTCGTCGAGCAATATGACCCTACCTTCAAGCTCTGGTACCCTCATGGAACCCGAGAGAACTATGAGCTTTTTAGTTGGGTTAGTTTTTGAGAGATTCCCCAGAATACCCACACACAAACGAATGCTAACCCTGCTGCAGCTTTTCTTCCAGGTCAGCGGCCTCGGGCCCTTCCAGGGCCAGGCCACACATTTCCTGCGACATGTTCCTGAGCGCATCCCGTACGCTCTCGATCGATATCACAACGAAACTAGACGTCTGTACTCTGTTCTAGAAAAGCAGCTGTCGCAGAAGACAAAAGGGTATATCGTGGGCGACAAATTTACCATTGTTGATATCGCCTTTTGGAGCCTGGCTGCCACAACTCCATGGGCAGGTCTGGACTTGGATGAGTTTCCAGCAGTCAAGGAATGGTATGAAAGACTCTTGCAGAGGCCGAGTATCCGCGAGGGCATGAATGTGCCAGAGCCACATGGCGTAATTGCCTTGGCTGGGGATAAGGATGGAGAGTTGACCAAGAAGTTTGAAGAGTTTCACCGCAAGTGGGTTATGGATGGCATGGGAATTGATGCACGGGCCATGGAGGTTCAGAGCAAGCGCAAATAAACTAGGCTATTATCAAATGCTCAAAGAGCTATACTAGATGACAATACCTCAAAGGAGATAGGTTTTTATGCTCATTATTAGTACTTGTATGGCCGCAGCCGAGGGGGATTGTTGACGTACCTAACAACCGTATGGAAAAACCTAGATATAAACAATAGCAAATCGTGATGAAGAACTATAACCATGTAGTTATTATAAGGGCCAAGATACTTGATAAATGATCCTTAGATAGCAATTTTGTCTTAAGGAGCTCCTAACTTGATAGGGATGTGCTTGCGTAGAGGAGGCTGATAACTGCAAAAACCGGGGTTCGGAGTTCCGAGATTAGGGCTTGTACTGGCCGTCGGAGTTTGGGAGGCACATCTAGGCTCCAGGCTCCTGGGAGGGGTTTGCTCCTGGGACGGGTTACTCCTTCCTTCTACCTGCTACGCAGGATCAGATATAGACAAGTTAGGAAGGAGCGACCCGCCTCGCTCTTCTAGCGATCAAACATGGCAAGCGCGACCCCTGCCTGGTTAGCAAGGCTCGCCTAGTTGAATAAAATATACCGAGTAGTCTGAGTGGACCGAGTAGTCTGAGTGGACCGAGTAGCCTGAGTGGACTGGAGCTTCTCTAAGGTGGAGCAAGGAGTAGTCAGAATCCAATCACACATTAGCCCTCTGATCCATTGTTGACTTCTCCCTTGAAGCCGTTGATTTAACTAGTTGGCTATAAACCACCATCCACTGGAAATGGAACATCTAGCTAGTCAATGATGTCTCCCATTTGCCACCCCTGTTTTGGGTTGGCAATCAGGTCTCCTTGAGTCTCCATATGTAGTCTTCCTTACGGAACCTTCTTCCATACGGAGCCCTCTTCCATACGGAGTCCTCTTCCTTACGGGTCAGTCTGCTGGGAGGCTCAATAGTGCCACCGGCATGATTACCAGCAAACGAACAGGATGTGGCGCTTCTGCAAAGGCATTTTTGTCAAGAATTAGAGAAACACGGACTCTTTGACTTTTTCGCTCAAAGAGGTAGTGGAGCCAGTGGTTGCAACTTCTCAGATAGGACAAATATCTGCTTCTGGATGAGATTCTCGGAGTAGCAATAGTCCGCAAACTTATAGACGAACTGACTTGGCACTGTGTCTATTTGAAGGCAGAAGGAAGCAAGTTCCTCTCATTAAAAGCCTGACACAAGCTTTGTTGCAGACTTGACTCAACATGGGTAAAGGTCAATTTCACCACTAGCTGCATCAAAGAAAACTTGGTGATGTGTATAAAAAGGCCTTGCGGTATACTTGGAGCATGGGCAACTAGCAGCGATGAAGGATTAGGTGGAGTAGTATGGTATGGTATATTGAATATACTACTACTTCACTAACTTACGGACCCCATCCCACCTGTTGCATAGGCCACTGCAACCAGCAACGACGCTCCTCATCCAAAAGATAATATATACGACTAATGGTATGAGCACTGACCCCCTGCATCCACCAAGCCCATTCCATCTCTTTTGTGACAACGCAGAAATAGGCAAAAATTACCATTGCCTCAGGCTTGCGCTGCTGGAAGTATCCATAGTACTGATCCGAAACCGTCCACAGCCAGATAAATATATCAGCAGTCTCGCAATCATGGGATCCAATATCGAGTGTGGCAAACGAGAGTGCCAAATCATCAATTGCGCCGTGATAACACTGTAGTTCATTAGGATCCTGAACCGTATCCTGTAAGAGCTTTTTCAAGACGAGAAGAAATGGCGGCGTGGTAATGGTAGACCGTGTATCCCGAGCTAGTTTCCTTCGATCGCCCATCTGAAACATTGGTGCTAGCGGTCCCGTTCTAAGGGAGTCGTCTGCTGATGCCAAGATATGTACTGTGCCACGAAATAGGGTCAACCACTCGATGTCTCGATCACTATTTGCCCAAAAACCGTGTCTGGTGTGTAGTTTGGCAAAGGAGATAATGCAAGTCAGAATAGAGAAGACGTAAATGTTTTGGCAGTTTTCTTTATCGATATCTGGGAGGATAGCGGACACCATCTGTAAGGCGGTGTTATGATAGAGCTCTGCTTGGGAGATATAATAGTCGTGGAATTCGGGCTTTATATGAGCCAGATGCAGCGCAGAAAGTGCGATAATGGCGCGGAATACGAATGGCGATGAGAAGCTGACTTGCGGAATCCGGATTTGCCATACAGTTTGTAAAACTGGATTGCGTGAAAATGTATAGCAGGTTGATGTAGAGAAGTGATGGAGTAGAGCCATCTCGGTCATGCCCATTGAGGTGTTCTCCCCTGAGGAAGCGGGACTTGGGGCGCCGGAAGTGCCGAGGGTTGCAGGTGATACCGATGGCCTAGGGGCTGGGACGCCCTCGCCGAAGAAACATTGGACTCCATGTCTGAGGCAGTTGTTGCAATGCGGCCTGGTTTCATCACACTTTTGAATTGGTTAAAACAACCAAGACAGATTATTTCTTTGAACCACTCACTTTTATTTTGCGAGTTTTGCACGACCGGCAGCCGTTTCTAGACTTTGTGTGCGACCGTCGGGGCCCCATGTTATACCCCATGGACGGGACTGGAACAAAGATCGAAGTAGATATAGGTCTAACAGCAGAGAGAGGTAGAGAAGATGTAGTGTTTAGATCCCAATATATATGTAAATATTTTGAGAAAAGGATCTTTAGCCAAGAATGACAGAAAGTTGGTGTACGAACAATGCCCAGGTATAAAGATAATGGTATGGATGACTGGTGTTGTGAACTCTAACTAGACAAAACTTGCTATTTCAACAATATGTGCTTTAATGATGACTAAACGTAATATATGGTATCCATGGATGCCTAGTACTCGAAGTCACATGATTCTCATGGTATAATGTCTGGTTTCTGCCATGTATCATGTATCATGTATCATGTATCATGTATCATGTATCATGTATTCGGACTGGGTGTTCGACAAAGAACCCCCAAGTCCATGTCTCACGCTAAAACGCTAGTGTCCGCCCCACAAAAACACTTTCACCTAAAAATATCCCATATCCTCTTCACACTTCAAAATTGTTGCCTGTCTGGTATCCATTCCTTAGGCATTATTTCTGATATTGACTAGTTCTGTGCCACTGGCCCGAGACTCAGTGTCACACATAGCCAACCGGGGAGTCAACAATGTCTTTGGAGGAAAGATGTTGAAGGTGATCATAGTCAAGAACATCAGAGTAGCTTCAAACACGTAAAGGTATACTTCCGTCGACATGAGCGGACCATCCGTACCAGTAATATACTCAACGGCACGGAAGATAGACCGAATCATAATAAATAGACTAGCTATATATAGGATAAATAGGCACTTCACCCACGGCACCGTAATAGTAGACATAGAAATGCAATCCCAGCACTTCCTAAGCCGGTAATGGAACACGCCTGCAGTAACAACGAAGAATCCAAAGAAGGCGATTTGGATAAAAAGACCGACAATAATAATGTTTTGTCCGGTGGTAATCTTAGATTGGGTCTTTGCGGAAGAGAGGAAACCACCGCCAGCGCTCTGAGCGAGGAATGAGATAACGTCTCCGCAGACAAAGATTTTGGTCAGCCATTTGACTCGAATGATAGAGAGCGAATCATGGCTGGTAGAGATGATTGAGCGGCCTAGGATCATATAGATAGAGGCGGCGAAGAATGCTGGTGCGAGGAGAAGCAGGACTGATTGTATGACATATGGAATTGTTGTCCAATTGGGGGTCTCTTGTGAGCTAAGATAGCGACCGATATAGCCGATAGTTTCGACTATAAGTAGAGTTAGCCTTATATGATCGTTTATAAATGAGGTTGGTATACGCGTACAGATTCCTCCGATAATGAAAGGAATGAAGAACCATGATCGATTCCGGATCATTTGGAAAATGTGCACCGAGGTGGTTAATCCGAAGAGGACAACGAAAAAGATCGCCGCAACTGCCGACGGGTTGTAGTGGTAGAAAATGTATGTAGAGTCATTGGCCATAGCTTTGGTAGATTGAATTGAGTATAGGAGAAGATGTAGTTGAATCGTGAGAATGGTAACTGAAAGCTATGCTGACTGTGAGTAATAGGGTCCATGTAGAGATTGACAAACGCTTTTATATCTATACATCAATCTTGAAATGTCTGTAGGATCTGATGCTAAGCTCTAAAATTTCATTTTGATAGTTCACGTACTCGGGTTGGAATCCGAGATGTAGTTATCCCTGTTTCTAGAAGCTTATGGATCGGGCATGGATCCAGATTGTGGCTTGGTGTGAATCTAGGGACTCAAGGCTACCAGTTAAATTCTCCTCCTGGCTTGTATATTTTTGTGTACAGCTCAATCTTAAACCCATTTTGGACAATAAAGCCATCCTTAAGGGTACCTGAAGATCAAACCCGAAATTCGACGAAGAGCACAACATCAGTCTCTGATTGGACAGTCCATCTCGGTCTCGGAACTTTATTCTTCGTATTCGGGTCCGGATTATCCAGCCCGTCTTACCTAGGTATATTCTTCATCGGTGCATCTACGGATGTTGTTTTGTGGAGATGCCTAGATCCACAGTTTAATATATCAATTGTTCTGCCTGAAGAAGACTCAACCCTGTTCAACTTATCTCGGATATAGTCGTACCCAAGCCCACCAAAACGTACCGTTGGTATGCCCCAGCGGATCGCAGCGGATCTCAGATTTGCAGATTAGGTATCTTTTGTATGGCAACTCTATACAAAAGATACTTAACAACAACCTGCACGCAAGTCTTAATTGGAAAATAAAATGGCTAAGCTTAATATGAGTTTACTTCTACCGATCTACTAAGGTTAATTCTAAATCTATACAAAAAATATTGCTTAAAGGTTCAGTATGTACTCTCAAATTACACACTTGGGATTTCTTCCTATAGTTACTAGCATATAATTGGGACATCATTTACAACATATGCATGTCTTGTTCTATCCCTAAACCTTTTTCACGCCCGAGAAGATTGATTTCATATTTATGTTACGTTTGAGTATCTTTTGTATAGCAACGTACTACGGAAAATACGTAATTTTGCAAATTTAGGAACCGCTGGGACACACCAAGACCGTGTAGGCAAAGCCAGTTGGAGCTGACGCCGATCGCTGTTCCCTTAGTTCGGGCTTCCAGAGGTAGGACCTCAGGTATGTATACCCATGGTATCGAGTTTGGACATGCCATGGATGAGCATGTACAGGAAAAATAACGTGACGGACGCTTCGGCATATGTCTTCCCGTTTGGTTGGTTGACTTGGGAAAGCAATGCTGCTACCATCATCATGCATATTCCTCGGTCCAAAGAGCCGATCATCATTGCCTTCCGGCGACCCATACTGTCCAGTTTGAATTCTTGAGCCAACGTCTGCAACGCCTGCTGCATATTGTTTTTTTCCACCCAGGTTGCTTATGTAACTGGGCCACTAAGGAGTTAGTACAATTAACTCGAATCAAGAAGCGATATCTCAATATAAACATATTGTCAAATACTGAGTCGAGTACATGGTGGGAACAGGGTATTTTACCCGGTACTATATGTTACGGACATACTCGTCACTAATCACATGTGGAGACCTGCACCCATCGATGGGACACCGAGAGCCAACCAGCCCGCTTGTCATCAGATCACGTGCAATATCTAGTATCCAGGCAACTCTAGAGGCCAGGGAAGAAAGAAACCATGTGCTTAGTGAACAAAAGCATGATCCGCTGTTAGAGGTTTTTCTGTAGATATGTATTTAAATTTAATATGTAGAGTAGGGGTGACGGCTCGCTTGTGGTGGCAGATCGCTTGTGAAATACATTAGTAACTTTATAGGTAGAGCTCACCCCCGGGGAGCGCCCGGCACACCAATCCTTAGCTATGAAATGGAAGCAATACCCAGGGCCGCTGTACAGTGGGGTATTATCCATAGCCACAAACAGCTCAGGTAATTCCTATAAAAAGACTTCTCCATATTTAGCGTGCGATATTTAGAGTATTACGCTAGAGACTCGTATATGTAACTACTTGTACTTATGTCGCTATAAATTGCGGTACCCTGTAGTGGACCTAATCAGCCAATAGCGTCCGCCGGTTGAAATTATATCAACGCACGTTTCCGTGACCGCAAAAGTCATTTTCATCGACATCGCACTCACCATATCCAGTTTTTGACCTGATGGCAAGCCTTGGGAATGAATTAGATCTCTCGCAATATCCAATTAACTACAATTCCCATGCCTTCAAGTGTTGTTTTCCTGGCTGCAACGCCAGCTACCGGCGCAAGGAGCACCTGCATCGCCACGAAGGAAAACACTGTCAGCAGCAGGCTTTTCTATGTTCCAATTGTGGTAGACAATTTGGACGAAGGTATCTACATATCTTCTTCATAGACTCATTCTGCAAACACCCACTCTAACTCATCTTGAACTCAGCGACACACTTCGACGCCATGTCCGTCAGCGTCATGGAATAATTGAACCTCTCATGCGTGCGCAGCGAGCTTGTAAGAGCTGTCATGCATGCAAGTTGCGGTGCGAAGGAGGTGTGCCCTGTGATGAGTGTGTACGTCGCAAGATTGAGTGCTCTTTCAACGACCCTGCTGGCGCAGTAGAGAATCAATCTCCCGAATCCGAAACGCATCGTGTATCGAGTGTGAAGAATGACCAACCACAATTAAAGAATACAGAGAAGGCGGGGCACTACATCCGTCTTTATTTTGAGACTTTCCACCCGTTTTGGCCATTCATTCACAAAGGATCGTTCGACATACGCCGTGAAACACCCTTCCTGGTTCAATCAATGATCGTTATAGGCATGTGGGCTACTAGGGAACCATCTGCGCAGTCATCAGCAGTGAAACTCCACGGGATACTAGACTCGGCTCTTCGGGGTCAAAGGGTTCGTGCCACTAATCATATTTCCTACACAATATATTCCGGCTTTACTAAGATCCGATTGGTAGGAAAAATGGGATGCCTCAGAAGCACCTGGAGCTTCTAGTGCCTGTGTCTGGCCAATCGCAATGTACCAGGCTATCCTATTACATATCATCTTCTCTTTTCTTGTCAGCAGCCGGACTGCTGTCGATTTTGACTTAAAAGTCTCTCTTCCCCCAGCTGATTTGGGATTACTCGAAGCTCTTGTCCGAAGTTGTCGAATCCTAGGCATGTTCTATTATCCGAACATTATTGCCAAGTATGAAGAAGCTGACTTGGCTTCGTTCGTCTGGGTTTGTGTTGAGGAAATCAAACAATTTAATATAGCCTTGTACAAGGTTTGTGGGAAGGCAAGCAGCTCTAGTATACGAGACGGAAGCCATGGGGATATTAATGCAGTATGGTCTTTGCTAACCCCAGATGAACTTCAGTTCCCCCTGCCAGGCAATGTTCCTTTGTGGAATGCTGTTGGCGCAGATGAATGGATGGCTGTTGGGAGGGACGAAAAGCTGGTTTCTTTAGATGATGACTGCCAGGAGAAGTGGATATCGAATTCTGCAGAGATATTAGAATTCTTCCGGCTATAGAATTCAAACCATTTGTCCTTTGGGTGTAGCAGTAGCAGTTATTTTGGGCTTTGGATATCGGTCCGAATGAATATAAGAATTCCTGGAAATTGATAACAGCTTAGGGGCCACATGTGGACTTGTTCGCTTGCGAGAATGAGAAAAGCTATCAAGCCCGTAGCGATTGAACTCGCTTACTTGTCTTGTTATACATAGGCTAACGTAAATGTCTTGACAGGTATTTATTGATTGCCTTGTACAAGGGGAGCGAATCAGAAGGGAATAGCCTCCTTCTGCCAAGACTGCCCGCCGGCTAGGGAAAAGTTCCTTAATCCGAGGTTGATCTACGAAGAAATCAGATCAACATAATAGTGGTGCAGTGTTGATCTACCATATCCTGTGAAAGATACAGCCTCCCACATAATAATGTGATCCTAGTTCTCATTATTCTCTTCATCACTGTCGAAGACTGCATCATCATCGTCATCATCTTCATCATCTTCCTCCTCATCCCCCTCTTGATAATCCTCATCTTCTTCCTCTTCCTCACCCATCGCAGCATCCAAGTCCAAAACCTCATATCGCATAGCATCCCCATACAGAACACAGGTAGCACGCCGTCCCTTCCGTCCATTAACATCGACATGCACAGGCCGTGCTTTAGGGCCATGTAGATCAAAGATATGTATAAGGACACCCGCGTGAGGGGATTCAGGCGAGAGATCTATGGTCGTGGCTGATATAGTAGGCTTGGGGGTGGATGCCGTGCTGTCACACTCAATATAGTCAAGGACCAGAGGTGATGGGTCGGTTATCTCGTTTGGGGATTGTGTTGAGGCCGGCTGGAAGGGGAAGTTGAGGAGATGGGAGGATCCTTCTGTTCGAATAGATTGTTAGAATATGCATGTATAGCCTAGAATAGGATTATTATAAGTCAATATGTGAGTGACTTACTGCTGTCGCGCCAGAGAACCATGAGTGTGTCGTCTTGGACGAATTGGAGTTGGCGAACTTCGCCGTTTTGGAGGTCGAGGGTTGCGAGAGATGTACTACTTGTTGAGCTGACGCCGCCAACTGAGTTGAGGACGACACGGTATATGTAGACTAGTTGAGAGGGTATAAGAAGCTGTAATCTGAAGAGCGATTGTACAACTAACCTTGATGTTTTGATGTGACGGATCGGGTAGCGGCGTATACTGAGCAAGGCTGGCCTTCCATGGCATCCTGTGGGGCAAGTTAGCAATTGGAACAAGACAAAAGCCAATAGTCTCAAACTCACCTCGTAGCAGAAGGCTAGATCGATAACCCCTTGATCACAATCAGAGTTAAGCGTCAAAGGCGAGCGATGGAGAATTCCTCTGCGTTGAGTTAAGGCAATCTCTCCAAAGACCTTCTCAAATTGGATGCCTAAACGCCTTGTCAAGTCATTGAGCTTAGGCGTTTCGACAGATGTACCATCACCGCCCTTGTCCCGGGACTCGCGTTGCTGCTGAAGAAGTGACTTGAAAGTATCGAAGAACGAGCGGTCGTGGTCACCTGGAAGCCATTTATCAGTGGGAGGGGCAGGGGGTTGAACAACTCCGATCATAGGAAGTTGGCGGATGAAGTTCCGCAGCGCACTTTTGGTCAACGCGCCTTTAATATACTTCACAGTAGGAGGGACATCGAACAAGTCTCGCTTCTCCTGCAGCTCTTCGAGTGTCTGCGACAAGGGCTCGCTGTTAAGAACGTGGATTTCGTGACGAAGCCATCTAGAGAAAGCAGCAAACTGGCCCAGTTCCTCGTTGGCATGCGTGAGAACACGGTGCGCAAGAAGATGGAGACAATCAAGTGTCTCCACGATAGCATTGAGCTTGGTCGTGTCCAGCCCAAGGACATCGCTTAGCTTGTGAAACTTAGACAATCCAACCAACCGACTGAGAAGTACCTGACTGCGTTCCAGGGCTGGGAGGAGACATTCGTGTGTCAGTCGCCGGATATTCTCGTAGCCGCCCGAGACAGCCTTATCCCATCGCTTGTGGCCCTATATCGTTCATTAGCCTACCGTCTCCCAAATAGCAAGGCTCACTTACTCTTTCTCCAACAATATCCGTGAGGAATTCTTTCATCGGCTCAAAGCAATGACCAGTTACAACCAGGTGATAGATAGCAGTGATAAAATCACACTGGCATTTTTCCTGCAAGTCCTCATTCACACTGCGCAAGAACCGCGCAGGGAGCTCCTGAGCATTCTTCCATTCAAGCTCAATCTGCCGCTGCACCTGACCAATATAGCGCAGCAAATTCTGAAGCTGTGTAGTCTTCGACGCTAGAAGAGACAGATATCTCCCAGACTTCGTAATAAATCGAAGATCCATCGTGACAAGCTCAAGCGGACCACGGGTATCACCGTTAGCCGGCGAGGCCAGCAGAGCATGCGTAGAGCTCAAGGGGTGCGAAGCGTGTCGCAAGATACGGCATGAGTCAGAGATGCCGGGAGAGCTTCCCACGGAGAAAGAGCCAATCTCGAAGCAATCAAAAATGCGCAGGTGGACAGTGCCATCATTAAAACCGACGGATAGCACATCAACCGAATCATTGGTATCCTTGGAAGAATGGAAGATGGCGTCGAGAGACGCCCGCGAGCTAAAGACGTCGTCCTCGCCTCCTGTTGCAGGCAGGGTGCTCAGCTTTGGTAGTGAGCTCTCAATGTCCAGCAAGGCAAGTTCCCTGGGTAAATCTGCTTTAAGTGTGGTAGTTGCCTTGGAGGGATACACTCCCGGGGCTAAAAGGTCGTCGACAGAAACCTGGCCCGCGGATTCATGCAAATGCCGCTGTGCGGCTTTGCTATCGGTGAAATTGGCACCCCACCCGACGCACGTCGCCTTGGGTGCTGGGTTCGCAGTGGGATTGGACAGTTCCTCATTCTGCTGATAGGTCTGGTAGTGGTGCACCGTCTTCCCGGTATAGGAACTAATGACGCGGAGCGAGCCATCTCCACACGCGACAGCGAGGAGGCGACCTGGAGTAGCATTAGTAAACAATCGCGCGTGGAATCAACAATCAAAGCCAGGAATATCTGATCATAGAGAAAAAGAAAGATATCGCAAAGACCAGCGACAAGGAAATTCAAACGCACCATTCCCCTTCCACGCCATTCCTCTAATCTCGCCATCTTCTTCATCCTCGCCCAGGTACGGATCTCCACCAAAGGAGCCCCCGAACACTCGCTGCCCATTAAGTCGGAATACGCGTAGTTCCTCGTCCTCGGTCGCCAACGCTATCAGGTCCATCGTGGGACAGTACGCCACGGCCTGCGCCTTGCATTTTGCTGGTAGGGACTTCTCCCCGACGGGGGTCAGCTGGGGGCCATCGACTGCCATTATGGGTGTTTCTTGCTCAAGACAAAAATAACACATTCAGCCCATTCTTATTTTGGGAACATCAGAGGTTCAAGAACCGAGGTGTGGTGCTGTTCTTTTTTGGCCGAAGCTGTTGATCGCGGGTGGTGGATACAGAGGGATTCTTGGCGCGTGTGTTTTGGTGTTTCGTTCGACATGTTGGTATGGGATTCACCAACGTCACTCTGGAGTTTACATCGATTTGCTTCTACTATCTACTTTGTAGATTAGATTATACATCGAGAACAGGTTTTTCTTTTTGTCGTATTTGCTTGGTTATGATTTCATCTCTATTAAGAGCTAAATGATACATTTGTGGAATACAAGAACTCCAATGCCGGCGACCAGCGCCAGAAATATGAGAATAAAAATACGAGACAGAAGTCTCTAAAAGGGATTGTATCATCAAAATGGAGTCCCATCCATGTCAGCTTGGATCAGATTCTTCAGATAACTCAGCTCATCCATCAACTCCTGCATGGTAGCATTCCCCTGGAACGAGGTATTGCTGCGACGGGAGCGAATGCGCTCAAGGGAAGCTTCGCTCACTTTCCGCTCTGCGGTAGAGATATTTTGGTCCGTGTCCGAGCCTCTGGAGACTTGGGGGAGGATGATCGGGGAGCCATTGGGGCTGCGCGACATCGCAAGGGCCTCCATGGATTCAAGAGCGCTAAATAGGGCAGCGTGGCGCTTGGGGTTGCTTTCCACTTCCTCCATGTTCTCGATTCCCAGCCCAGAACAGTCTAGGCCAGGTGTGGACAGGGAGAGGGTGAGTTGGGGGAGGTCAACGCTCCAAGGAGGGAGTTCTCCGGATGCCGAGTTCGGAGATGAAGGTTTGGAGTAAACGGTGAGGTGCGGGGTGTTTGGGTCGGTATTGGTTGCGCCATCGCCAGACTGTGAGAGATCTGGAGTTGTCCACCTTTCGGTCGAAGACTCGTCCTGGTGGTGGTTGGATGCGGAGGCTGATACCATCGATTGATGCGGGTTGTAGTCGGTTTCGGTATCGGTGCTCCATTCAGAGAACCGACTGTATTCAGGCGTGAACTGGGAGTGGGTGGAGTCGACTGTTGTTGTTGTCATGCTGGAGAAGTAACTGCGCGGAATCTCGTCATCCATCGCCTTGTCTCTTTCGTCAATGGCGCGAACTGCTTCATCCATGACTGAAGATGGCGTGTTTGGAAGTGTAGGGAGCCTCTTTTCTTTGGTAAATGCAGCAGTTGGCGTGGGCAAGTCACCAGAGTTAGCGATATCTTTCAGGGCTTCCCTGATCGCACGGTTTTCGTCAAATGGCGCGGTAATTCCGTTTGCCGCGCTACGAGAAAAGCTTGGTTTACGGGGCTCCGGACGCGTCTGCACTGTGAGAAGACGGCCCGCTGCTGTTTCTCCAGCGGTTGCTTTCATTGCGCGACGACTTTGAATGGTGGACGGACTAAGTTTGCCAGGAGAGCTTGTGGATGGAATTGCGATTCCGGCGTTGACCTTGACTCCAGGGATATCGCGGCGATTCTCAATAGGCTCTTTCTGCTGCGGTTCCATCTTAGAAGCATTCATTGGTTGCACTGGCTCGAACTTTCTATCCGCCTCAGCGGGCTGCCTCAAAGCAGCCAAAAGAGCTCGGGCTCTCGGGGGAGACATAGAACGTGAATCTTTCTTGTGGCTCTTACGGGTGGCACTGTGCGGCTGAGATGCACTTCGGTGAATTCCGGCCATCGGAGATCTGCTCGACGGCTCTGCAGGGCTCGGTTCACGACGGACCGGTGCAGATGTCTGGAGATGCACAAGCTGGGGCTGTGGCGGCGGCTTCCGCGGGTTCATAAACTTGTCTTCGGGGTTCATAGTCCGAAGATATTCAGATCTTTGGGAGCAGCCACTCGCCGAGCGTCCATGTGCGCGACTGTCGGGTAAAATGATAGGAACGTTCAGCACATTCATGGGCTGCCCTGGAAGAAGCGGGCACATTGTGGTCATTGGCTCTGCCTCGTTGTAGTACTCTATATCATTATCGAGCAAATACTGTGTTCCTGGTTAGCTCTTTTATCTCATACGCGTGAATATCAGCCTCACATAATACCAGTAAGTACCACCCATCTTCAGACCTCCTGTTCGCCATTGGGTCTTGTCTGGTCCATCGCCTATGATATCGGTAAAGGTATGGCATCCTCTCCAGTGTCCTGGTCCGACACGCGTATCTCTTTCCATCGCATATTGCTTGGAGAAATTATCCCATGATCCGAGCAGCTTGACCGACCGGACCTCCGGTTTGGTAATCCTGAACCGTGGTCAGCGCATGGAGATATCAATTGGGTGGTGGCACTCACAGTAGGAAAGTCATGAGGGTAGTCGAGATCATCGCAAGGTAAGACTGCAAGAAAAATAACAGGAAAAGAGAGATCGCTGAGCAAAGCAGGTAATAGCACAGATAAAAAGAAGAAATCGGAGAAGGAAAATGCCCAACAATGCAAAATAGCAACGAAAGAAAATGCCAAAAGACAGAATGCCAGTAAAATACACCCGAATGCAAGGCAACAAAAGGACAGTCTATAGAGGCCAAGAAAAGGGACTTGAGCCAAAAGCCCGAGCTTATATAACAAAACCCACAAGAGCTCACAGACACAAAGCCAACTCCACAAAGGCGGTTCTATAATTACAGCCGGGGGTTGGAAGCACGCTGTACGGAGTACCTGTTTCAGAATCGAGTGACAGGTCTAAGAATAAACGGTTCGTTTCAGGTGTGTTCGGGGCAATGCAGATAATCACAATGCCATGGCCTGGACACACAGGGCCCAAACCAAATAAACAAATAAGTTGTAGGCTGATGCTTCAGGAACCGCGATGATGGTGCAATTTCCCTGATGCAGTGCAAGGCGACAAGGCTGGCCAATGAGGGAGCGGAAGAAAGCGCCGACCACTCGGGTTGGTAATGTCCCTGCGTTGGGGAGTCCGGCGCTAAAAGGTCTCTTAGCGCTGCAGGTTGTGATGTTGAAACAGGGGGGATAGAAATCGAGGGTGAAACTGTAGAAACGGTAGGTTGAAGCCCTGAAGGCTGCAAGAGAAGGAAATCAAGAGAGAAGGGGGATGAGAGGCGAATTAGAGGGTTTTTTTAGGAGATCGGCGCGGGGACGACTTGACGATCACAAAATTGGCGGTGATGATTAGTGGAGCTAGGAGTGTTCAATAATCCGTGCTGATCTACCCCGTGAATGAGAAATATATTGTTATAAGAAGAGAGGAAGAGAAAGAAAAGAATGTGATGTCCGATTCTCAGGGCAGAACACGGTGTGGCTTGCGATCCTCCGATGCTCCGTCATTGTGGTTCGTCGATCTCCATGCAAGGTACGCACAATTGGATTGGTTAGATTAGTTAGATTAGTTATATTCATTGGATTCATTTCATCGGCTTTCCATTTATGTTATGTATCAAGAGATCTGGCTAATATATGAGTTGATCATGGAGTATATACTCTCTGTACGGACTATTATTCTCGAAAACAAAAACATACCAGTTTGCAGGAAGCTGCAAGGGCCCGAGCTTTAACTATAGCGAATTAAAGCGTCAGATCTTCTTATTGGTCGTGGAGATTAAACCGAACTGGGCTAACTCTGAGCCCACAAGATATGTCCGAGGATTCTCCACGGCGGTTCCTGAGATTAATCTTCCAAACGATATGTCATTTTCGTTCGTAGGTCAAAATATGCGATTGGAAGGGAAATAATGTATCAAATATGACGGTAATCCTAAGAAATCTAAGTATCTCAAACCCCTAAACCTAAAACGCGTAAACTCCCGTGGACGTAGCTATCTATCCAACTTTCTTCCTATCCAACCTCTTATGAACAGCCCCAAGCACAGTCTTCAAGATCCCATCCCCCTCCAACCGCTTCCCAGTCCGATTTCTCCAAGAAACAGTATCAACAATATCCCTCATGTGTAAATTATTACACCGACACCCAAGGTCTTCATCCAATTCCTCCAAGTACTGCCGAGCCATCTCATCATTCCCAATCTGGAAAAACTGAATTCCAACCTGCCATGGAATAGCGCGACAAGAAGGCCCATCCAGCATCTGAGCGGTCTTGATAATAATGCTCTCCGCGTCATCCGTAAACACTCCATCCGTAATCGTGATGATATTAATTGGTTTAACCGGCTTAACCGGCTCCGCCGGCTCTACCGACTTAACCAAAAAGCCCGGGCTAGATGCTTCATTTTGCGCTCGCCTCTCTGTCTCCTTTGCTTCCACCAACTTGGTGTATGGATCCAGGATATCAAACAGTCGACTGCCGACTCCTGTTCCGCCAGAGGGTCTGACGGAGGAGAAGATCTCGCTTACTCGTTGCGCGGTTCTGATGTTGTGGTATCCGCCGGCATCGAGTTTTGGACGTCGGCTATGGTTGTAGCTGCGGGTGTAGTTGGAGTTGGAGTTGATGTTCGACTTTGGTCGGTGATTGATGAAGTAGATGTCGATACCCTCGCTGTCATATTTTGTGCAGACTGGCGCGATCGCGGCGATGGCATCTTTGGCTTCTTCCCAAAGTTCGCCTCGCATGCTTGAGCTGTCATCTACCAGGAAAATAGTGTGGAATTCGCCGAGGAAGGCGTACTGGGAATCGGATTCTGGCGCTTCCGGGGCGCTGATTCTAATTGTTGGGGCCGCTGCTTCCATGTACGGTGGTGGAAGGTCTGATGGTTGCTTCTCTGTGACATTTGATGTATTGGAGCTATTGGTGCGGCCTCGGGACCATGATGGAAAATGCGTTGGTGTAGTCACTATGGTTCTTGATGCGGTGGTTGCCCCTGCTTTGCGCTCTTTGCGCTCTTTCCGATGGCTGGATGAGAAGGAGTGCCATAGTGATGTCTTTTCAGGAGAGCCCATGGCTGAAGATTGTATATGTTTTAACTGAAGTGCTGGAGAGGAATCTGTGCCAAATAGACTTCTAGGAGGCTGCTCTGATATTCTTAAATGTATGTTCCAGACAAAGGATTTGACCCAGGAAACACTTCTTTATATCTACATGTCTGGCATCTATCAGGGGCTCGGCTTTGAACCCCACTATACAAAGAATGCATAGCATAGGGCAGAGAGGCATGGACCAAGGCATACTTCTGACAAACAAGGATTTACCCCAAACACATGGTCAAGATACGAGTTTCAATCTAACAGTAAGCCCCCAAAGTATGCGTAAGGCACAAAATGCCGTCATAAATCATAAGGCATATTTCGTTGGCTGCAGCCCTATTAGAACTGATAGGGGTATTGAGGAGCCATGTTGCTCATTCGTGTATAAGCCCCCGCCTTGGAGACCCGAGCAACAACTAGGTAACGCAGGGTCATCGGGCGCCAATGTTAGTTTTGAATCTAACCAATCATATAAACGCAGTTTCTGAGAGTTGGGAAGCGCACAGACAGATGGTCCTTTGTTGCTAGTGGCGGAGCGAACACAGCCCCGCAGAGGGCAATCCTGTTGCACAGGGCGCAGCGTAGTCTACTTCGCAGGGTAAACTGACCCATTCTAAGTGTTTTTTCTGGAATTTTATTGGAAGCTATGATGGACTATGATGAGGCTGTAATCTTTTAATTTAATGTTTGTTAGACAGTTCGTGAGTCATAATGATAATCAACACACAACGCGCCCTAATCCCAAACCCCAGGCTATAATACAAAACATACAAATCATTAGACACGTATCGACGCTGTTGGCTCAGCCCAATAAGTAACAGAGAAAGAAAAGAATGAAAGAAACAACTATATCAGCCGCTATATACCCCCGAGGCAAGTACCTCCCTTTTAGGCCGATTGAACTGCATGTCGCTTCGTCAGATCAGGTGCACTGGACACTTCCATCAGTGTCTTCTTCCTCAGTGACATGATGTAAAACTCCAGGATCAGCAGAAACTATATCTGCCACTGCCAGCGCTAGGTCGACACCCATCGTCTTTCCAATCATTTCCAGACACTTGACCACCCAGCGGCGCAGCCTATGTTGGGGGCTCTCAACGACTCCAGCGACAAACAGATGCCATAGAAGCACTAGACCCCCAATGTAGCTTTCAGGTGGCGGGATATCAGACTCCTTAGTTACTAGGTGAACGTTGAAGTGAAACGGAACACTGCGGCAGATCTCCACGGCCAACCGCCGAATCGTTGATCGCAGTGTCCTGCATTGGACACGAAGCTCTTCCGACAATGAGGCTAGAGAGGAACTTTCGGATAGCTTCCGGACATGGGAGAGGATGATTTCGCTGACAATAATTCGGGCGCTGCGGTAATGATTCCACGAACTGCAGACCCAGGGGGTGGTGTACACGTGGTATTGATCGTCGTATGGCGATATGCCTCGGAATTGCTTTTGGATAGCAAGGTCGAAGGGGGAGCTTACATGGGTGGTGTAGTTAAATTCGGGGGGAAGAGCTGCCAGCCAGGCAATTAAATCGGCTTCGATGGCCGACGCTGCTGATATGATCTCCCGCTCACTTTTGCACGTATTGGTGTGGATGTCTGCGCGAAGGTTCGATAGTTTCCCAATTATCATGACTAGTCGATTGCCGTGAGCTTCTGCTGTGCTAAGAAACATCGCGATTCCCGTGCCTTGGAGTAGCGACTCAGGCACTCGTGCGTCTCGTTGCAGGCAACTGATGGTCTTTTCAAGGGATTAGCTTGAGGTCGAAGGAGTAGTCGACAACACTTACAATCTGATATCGAAGATACAAAAACAAGCGAAGACCGGCGCTGGTCTTAAGTTGATCAGTGCCCCGTAGATCGAGCAGGGCTGTTGCCCCCTCGATATGGTTGGTCCAGCTGTCAATACTCTCCCGGGTTCTAGATGTAATCACCTATTAACAAAGCGTCAGCGACAACCATCTGAGGTGGAAAGAATGCAAAATTCCATACTTCATATATGGCAAGCAGTATGACAGCGCCTAAGGTTTGATTTGTTTTCGCCTCCTCTATGTCGGCTAGAGCGGCGTTAAGCAATCTCAAAGCGGATCCATACTCCCGGCGGGCTATATTGTTAAGCGATGGCAACCCTCTCACCCGCGAGAGCATAGCCGTGGCAGTAGCAACCACGCTTGCCTTCATGGCTCTCTGACTTGCAGGGCCCCCACTCTGCAACAAAAAATTGGAGATGAACTCACTACTCCAGAAATTGCTGGGGATGGCATTGGATCGCAGGAAATAACAGACTGCTTCATATTTGGTGGCATCAAGCTCATATGACGGCTGGACTTCCAATGGGTAATTCCCGAGCTGTCGCATAAGAAAAACATGCTGTGGATCAGAGTTGAAGTCAAAGTCCTGCTCCACCGCGAGACCAAGCTCAGACCGCACAGGTTTCCTTTCTGGGTTTGCAGTGCGACGCGATCGCTCTTGTTTATTCTTATGTGTCGAGGCCGCAACCGCCTTTCGGACTACTGATTTGCTTTCGTCGCGGAACATTAACGCCAGTTGATCCCGATATCCGGGACAGTCCCGCTTAGCCCTGGTACATTGCGAACAGGCCGGTTGGGCTTGGTCACACCGAATCTTTCTGGACCTGCACTCGCCACATCCTTTGCTTGGTTTACCACAGTATACCATGTTCCGTACTTGACAAAGTATTGTACATTGTCCACGGGTAAGGGGACAAAAGGAAGTAAAGAAGATGTTGCTCAGCCCCGTGTCGTCTGGACGGCGCTTAGCCGCTTCGGGTATGCTTTGCGACCCAAAACTTTCCACTGTCGATCTTACTTATAACACAGGTGCCTTGAAGCTATGTTGTACACCATATAACATCTGGTATAGGCAGCAAATAAAAGGCTTGTATCTGAGGCGATAAGCGGGTGGCATGTGATATATAATGTCAGCACTTACATGAAATACACCCAACCAAAATGCCGAAGATCCTAGCATGATTCCTGACTACTGCACGAGCAGGCTTTTGGGCGAATTAAAATCCCCCCCCCCCCATAGAAAATCCCATGAACAAGGTATATACAACATACAGATCCACGAACACGGTCGAAGGTGAGGTATGCGACTATTTTTGATAGGCATCCTCGGAGACTGGGACTAGATATCCCCTGAATAGTAAATAGCCTAGTCTACAATATATACTTAGGTAAGATGATAAGTTGAATAATCACAACAGTGTGTCGAATTCAGAGGTCAACTAGCTCTGGTCATCATGTAGGATAGTGCAGCGAGTGAGAGCGAAATATATACACAATATATGTTCATTTGATTTAAACGGCTATATCAGATTTGGACCTCACGGTATCGGATTGTCTTTCTTTCACTCTCCGCCCCGAGGTCCTCTGGTTTTCATACTAAACCGGGAAAAAAATGAAATAAAAAGAGATTTATCATTAATTTCTTTGTTACTACATTAAACATCAAAGTCTCATATCATATCCATAGGAACTTGCAGATATTACCCTGCTCGCTTCGGTGGAGACTCAATCTCAGCATCGGCCTGGTTCACCCGCTTCCTATTTCTCCTAAAGTGTCCGCCTGAGTCCGAATCCTGTTGCAGAAACCCGCCTGTACCGGTTCCATCATCATGCCACTCGCTAAATTCCCACTGGATTGAAGTTGATTGATCATCACTGACTCCCATACCACGTCGAGCACGCATCATACGACCCAACTGGCTCCCTTCTACCATCTCTTCAAACCAAGGGATCCCCCCAGTTCTACCGTGCTGTACACTCCTTGAGATATCCGCAGAATCATTAGATGGTGGAACAATGACCGAAGATGAAGCGGTTTCTGAGGCTGGCGTTAGTTCAGATGAGGTCGAGATACCAGCACGGGGAGCTTCCTCGTCGTAGTCCCGAGGCAGTAATCGTAGATCATCCAATGCGCGCTGGTCATCCCCCAGCAGACTGCCAATCGTGACAGACATGAAGTTTGATTCTTCGATAGGATCCTCTGTCCAGAATGTCAAGGGTGTACCGCAGTATCCACAGAACACACGCTGGGTTTGGGGTGCATGGCGGGGCGAATGAATGCGGCGAATGGAAGAGTGCGATTCATCTGGGAAGAAGGACTGAGTGTGGGATTGATACCAGTCGAGAGGCACTCGTAGCCACGCCGAAAGAGGTGTGCCGTGGAATCGACCTAAAATTCGATATTAACCGGGAGATCGACAAGCTTAGCTTGGCTTTACCCACGATTGTCTCGGCTGCTGTCGAAGTACACTTCGGCATGGTCTGTCACATCATCCGGGATATTGATTTGATATTCATTTCGACCACAAGCGCATGAGCCGCGGAGCGGATCGAAGGCCATGGTGGCACAAGAACTACCACGGCGTTGGTAAGTTCGCAAGGTTGAAGCTAGATAGACGGCTATAGATTGGAGATGAGCGACCAGACACTCGTTTTGTCTGCTAGAAACCCCAACCGAGGTGGTAATAATCTTTGATATTGAATTGGACTAGGAATCCAGAGTGCGAGATCAAAATTAACATGAGAAAGAGAAAAACCAATAAGTGTTCGGTGGACCCTCTTATGACGTTTAGAGGTTGCCAAGGCCCGTTCTTGTCCAGTTTGTTTTACTCCGCATTGGCCTTTGGCCTTATCGCTTCCTATCGCTTTTCCCGCGTCTCTCTACTCCCTCTCTCTTCCTTTCAACATTCTCCCATTACCTACCGATTACAATCGCCTCCCTCATCTATGCCTTGCCTCGACGGAGACACAGATCAATAACGATAGTCATCCAACCCATCCAATCGAAAACGCGAGTCCCGAACCCTGTATACCCTTGGCGCATCTACCCCACGCCCTCAGTTTCCTCTCAAATTCCTCCAGTCATCAAGCACCACGATGAATCTAGACGATGACCATGATCGGTCGTCCTCGACGCCGAATGGAACATCCAAGCAAGGATCTGCTCAGGAAAAGGACAAACCTCGCCTTACCGATCAAGAAAAAAAGAGCAATCACATTGCCTCGGAGCAAAAGCGACGCGCGGCCATTCGCGAAGGCTTCGATCGCCTGACAGAACTGGTACCTGGCCTGGAGGGCCAGGGCCGGAGTGAGAGCATCGTTCTGCAGAAGACCGTGGACTTCATTCACGTGAAACTGCAAGAACGCCACGATCTTATCGCAGAAATCGAGAACAAAGGTGGCCGTGTGGACGATTCTTTCCGTCCAACGTGATCATATTTCCCTCGGTATCTCATTGCGTTTTGGATCGGCGTCCTGCAGCCCTTGTTCCCCTCCGCTGGTCGATACGAGGGTTCTGGGGCTGCAGGCATGTGCCGAGGTCCGAGCGGTTTTTCTCAAATCCTGGACCACATGGACTTATACCCACACTACGAATCTCTTTTTCTTGTCTACCTATTCTACCCCTGTATTAAGAACGTCTTCGAAATGATCAATTGCGGGGCTTCCGCGTTGCCTGACAGATCTGGTCTTCGCATATGATTTGATGCCAACCACGCATTCTCCACCGCATTCAGTAGATCGAACGACTATCAATACGGTGCTACGGCGTGTGTATTTCTTGTTTTCCTACTTTTGAGTATTGTACATTGAAGCTTTTTTTTTTCTGGTTTGTTTCTGCTCCTAGGTACCAGAATGTATATGGTCACGGCTGTTGCTGCGAAGCAACTAGGGCGTTTTTCTTTCCCAATTGCCAGCCTGAAATCGAGTTATCTTCAGCTCTGGCTGAACACGCACATTGTCATTCTTATTCTCAATCAAAAAGTGATTATTTGACGGAGCCGTACTTCGGTTGCATCACGCGGACAGGGTTACGGAGAATAATTGCAGTCATGCAGTTTCTAGGTAGCCAACCAGATTATACGAAAAGTATATCTTACAGCTTCGGAAAGTTAGACGAAATAATTAATCAATGCAGCGGTGACAGAGGTGAAATCTCAATATAGACTACACATGTGTTTTAGGGGTTGCAACAGCCACCCGGGAGCTTCGGCTTACCGCCTGATATCTGCCAGAGAAACCGAGCCTTCAAGGTGAAGCAAACGCAGACTTCTACACTCTATACAAACCCGTAACATACAGAATCTCGTGGACAGTCGGGATCGCCAATTGAATATCCCTACTTATACTTGCAAGATCAATCAACTGCACACAAATACCATTTGCCTCGACAAGCGGACGGAGAGAGTTCCCCGCATCGCATCACTGCCCGCAACACCCAAAACACCAGACAAACACCAGAGAGACACCAAATCGCCCAACATGACAGACTCCAAAAAAGCTCTTCTATCCCACATGGAAGAATTCGACACCACCGAATCCGACCCACCCCCAGCCTACGACAAACCCGTCTCGAAAGCCAACCGCGGGGCACCACTCCCACGCCCACCACCCCTCAACCTCCCAGCCCTAAACAACCTCCGCAACCAGCGCGTAATCCTCGCCTCACAATCGCCACGTCGCAAGCACATAATCTCATTCCTAGGTCTCCCGAACATAGAAATCATCCCCTCGAGCGCTGCAGAAGACCTACCAAAAAGCCTCAGCCCATTCGAGTACGTGCTAGCAACAGCGACGAAAAAGGCCCTAACAGTCTACGAGCAAGAAATCAACAACGAGGTCAAGGGCGAGCCGGCCCTGATTCTAGCCGCAGACACGGTCGTCGTGGACCCATCCACAGGCTCAATTCTCGAAAAGCCCCGCTCTGAAGCACACCATATGGCCATGCTGCGCTCGCTGCGTGATATCCGAAACCACAAGGTCTACACGGCGATTGTTGCTATGGCGCCGTTGGCTAGTGCGCGGGACCCGGGTTATGCCATTGAAAGTACGGTTGAGGAGACGTCAGTGCGGTTTGATGGCGATGTTACGGATGAGTTGATTACGGCTTACGTGCGCACGCGGGAGGGCGCTGATAAGGCTGGTGGATATGGGCTGCAGGGGCTTGGGTCTATTCTTGTTGAGAAGATTGATGGCAGTTATGACAATGTTGTTGGGTTGCCGCTTAAGGCGACGCTCAAGATTATTGAGGCTGTTATGCAGAGTGCGGATGATGATGACGGGTTGCCTGGGGATGGCGAGGAGAGTGAGGATGATGAGTGAAGGGAATGTTTGTATGAGGTTTTAAGATCCCTTGTTTCTCGTTAGCCTTGTCTTTCTGTGTTTTTATATCATGCCGTTTTGAAGGATAGAATTAAAAGGATTAGGATTCATGTGTAGGAGAGTGATCTGATTCATGAGTAGAAACACTGTGCCCATTTTAAATACTGTTAACAATTTATCACATATTTTGATGTACCGTTGGTGCATAGAGAATCCCGCTGCATATCTTCTACGTAGTATACAGAAAGAAACAAAAAAAAACACTAGGATGTCTTCTTGTACAAGGGTTATATTCCGTCCTTTTTTCTATAGCTCAGAAACAACCTCGAGCAGCAGGAATCCGGCACCGATCAATAAATTCGGGCTGAGACAAAAGAAAAATAATCAACGACATATACAGAGGCGGAACGGAACGCCTGGATAGACCAGAACCAAATTGGTAAGCAGGAAAAAAAGGAAATAGAAAGACATCATGTCTGAAAAAAAAAAAAACTGTAACAGCACTCTATGCCGTCCAGATACGACGCAGAGCCTCGGTCACACCAACATCGTTTGTCTCGAACTCGTACAGACCAACAGCGGTAGTGAGGGTGAATGCGCGCAGGAGCCAGTTGCAGGTGGCGCGGAACTTGGGCACACGGGAAGGAGGGAAGTAGTCGACAATGGCGGCCCTGGTAGAGAGATGTTAGATTGCTATTTCCAGATTGCAGATCTGGGGTAGATTTGACGGAATTGCAGGATAGCGCGGGGAGGCTTCTTACTGGAATCCGATGTGCGAGTGGGCAACAATCAAAGAGCACAGGATGGCGTCCATGACGGGGTTGAGGGAGCCAGCCGCGAAGGGAGCGAAAGTGAGAGGGACCAGGCCGACGCAGACCAGTCTGAGATAGATGTCAGTCGGGGTTTTCTATGCGCATTCCGGGGGCTGTCGGAAGGAGTTGTATGGGTCGGTATTGTAGTACGCGAAAGGGAGCACAAACCTCTCAAAAGTCCAGTGGTAGCTGCCCTCGGAGGGGTGGGTTTCGGGAATGGGAGCAGGGTCGTTCACTATCGGGATAGGTTAATATCGAAGCCTTCAGCGAGGGCGGTATTGCGATTCGATGGGAAGCATTGTTTGAGCGCTGAAAGCGACAGAGACTGTATATCTCCACAGTTTGCAGGCGGTTCTATACTCAATGCTATCGAAAGGCGAGGGGAGGGTCGGAATAGGAAAGGCGCGGAAATAACATACTGGTTCCCTGGACAGTCTCTGTATCGCAAAAATCACGTTAGCAACTGCTCATAAACAACATCCAATAGATCTATCCATTGGCAACATCTCAATAAGTCTTATGGCAGGGCCTCTACTTACGAGGCAACGGGGGCAGGATCTGCTTCTTAGCGGAGGCATGGAAAGCGACGACCTGCGAAACGCCGACATTCTTCTGGAGGAAAGGCGCCCGGGGGGCGAGAGTCTGTCGCAGCAGAGTTGAGCGCGCGAATGAAGCCATTGTGAGTGGAGAGTATGATCGTGAAGAAGCAGAAACGCCGTTCGAATACAAGCGGATGAAGTTGGAGACCTCGGGAGTCCGACTCGGTATGTCATCCTTTTACGGGCCATTTGATTGGTCGATGATTGTCCGCCCAGCCGAAATTGGCCGATACTCTGGTGAGAAACATTTAGCCCTGCGGTTATCTTCTTCCTGTCTACAACAAGTTGTATATTATATGAAGTTCTTAATTACAGATTAATGTTTATTCTATTGTCCGTTCATATTATGTCATGTGCAACATTTGTTTGATTCGACTATTTTGAGGATATCTATTTTATCCCTACATACTGGAAAGTCCTAACCGAGGTATTGAATGCCGAGAATGTTCTAACAGAAGAAAAAGTATTGCTCCAGGCATCTCGTTATTTCATCAGTCTCATAAAGCACTTAGAACTTAAGGACAGCTTTGCCCAAGTTCTTGCCGTGGAAGATGCCAATCAGGCCGTCAGCAGCGTTGTCAATGCCTTCAGTCTCATGGATGAGGACCTTGAATGAGCCATCCTTGATCCACTTCTGTACATTTTCCTGGTGCTCCTTGGCGTAAACATCACCCATACCCTTATCACCAACGATGAAACCGCGCATCGTAATACGCTTGACGAGGACATTGTGGATGTTCTTGATGGGGTATGGGGCAGCGTTGTACTGGGAGATCAGACCGCAGACGACGATACGGCCGAAGTTGTTCAAAGCATCGAGGGCAGCCTCGAGGTGCTCTCCACCGACGTTCTCGTAGTAGATGTCAATGCCCTCGGGAGCGAGACGAGCAAGGGCATCGGCGGGCTTCTCAGTCTTGTAGTTGAAGCCGCCATCGAACTTGAGCGTCTTGGTGATGTACTCGAGCTTCTCGTCCGAACCGACGGATCCAATGACGCGCAGGCCCTCGTGCTTGGCGAGCTGGCCGACTAGCTGGCCGACGGCTCCGCTGGCAGCGGAGACGAAGATGGTCTCGCCCTTCTTAGGCTTGCCGATCTCGTACAGAGACGAGTATGCGGTCAGACCGGGCATGCCCAGGGGACCGAGGAAGACACGGATGTCCTCCAGGCCGAGGGGGTTTTCCAGCTTTTGGATGCGGACTAGCTCCTGCTCGCCGAGCGCGATATACTCCTGGATGGAAACATGACCAATGACCAGGTCACCCTCCTTGTAACTGGCGTTGTTGGAGCGCACGATCTTGCCGATGGTGCGGCTGTCAATGGGCTTGTCGAGGGCGTAGGCGGGGGCGTACGACTTGGTCTCAGCGGGGCGCATGCGGCCACGCATGTAGGGGTCGAAGCTGGTGTAGAGAGACTGCAGGACGACACCATTGTCGGGAGCGGCAACGCTAGCATCATAGGCGGCGGACTCGATAGCCAGGTGCTCCCCAGCAACGGGGTATCCCTGGGGAATCTTCTTGAATGTGAGAGCCTTGTTTGCAGACATTATGTATGTATATAGTAGGAAAGATAAAGATGGGCATAGGAAGTTGCCGAAGGTGGGAGCTCTTTATATATGACGATTGAACTGTTCATCAAAGTGGGGCTGTACCGAGGATCGAATACAATTCTTTTATTTATTTTATTTTATTTTATTTTTTAATTATAAATCTGGTGGACCTCGGAAGAAGCATCTCGAGATGGCGATGTTCCGGTTGATGCGCTCCACTATCTGCAGTTTCGGCTTTGATATGCATAAATTTACATGCCGTTGGTCCTAGCGTGCACTCAACAATTGTACGATGGACACATAACTGTGGCAACGGAACCAGTTTTTTTTTACAACAGTGGGGAACGGATGAATTCAAGACACCTCAGGCCGTCGGGGACAGCCATTTTGGGCAGGAAAACCGTGAGCCTCGGCATACCAACAAGTTGAAATAATTCTTGATTAATATATAGCCCCGATGATGAAAGGGATGATTGTTAAGCAACGGAGCGGTTGGCCGTTTTGGGATAAGCGGTATACCTTTATACTGTACAAAGTATATACCATCATTCTTGTTCTGCTTTGAAGACATTCGCACTCTTGGATCGGAAAATTATGCATTAAGTACATGAGTATATAGCATTGCCGAATATGTACCAGCGCTCTGAACCCTGAAAATGCGCGCAATTGAATACATCTAATCACGTCTGGGAATAACTTAAGCCTTGCCAGCAAGTGCGCCAGCGGCCTTTTCAATAAAGTAGTGCTTGCCCTTGATCATCTTGACCATGAAGCTGAAAGGCACAAATCCGAAAATCTGACCCGTACCAGCAGCTTCACCAACTGGCACGAGCATCATAATACTGTCGCCCTGGTCGTAGGTCTTGATGGCAGTGCCGCCTACAATGGCGGCTTTGAGGTTGGCAGCTGCTACACGTGCTTGCTCCACAGCCTTGAAACTGAGGCGCATTGAGTTGTTGGTGATATCGCCAGCAGCGAAGATAGGCAGAGTTGAACCGTCAGTCGACTGAACACGCATCTCTTTGTTCACTGTCACCCAGCCGTCCTTGTCCAGGAACTGAGCTGGAATGAAACTGTTGTTGGGGGTCGCACCGGTAGTGGGGATATAGAGGTCAGCTGAAATCTTGTCTCCGCCTTCCAAAGAGACTGTCCAGTTGGAACTATCGTCGGCCGGGGTCTCGACGCCAACGACTCGCTTGGAGGTCACAACCTTGACCTTCTTCTGCTCTAGCAGCTTGCCTGCGGCAGAGCTGGCGGATGGCTTGAGCATCGGGAGCACGCGATCTGTCGCTGAGATAAGCGTGATGGAGACCTTGCCAGCATTGCCACTTTGTTCCACTGCTTCAGCAAGCTCGCCAGCCAACTCAACACCGATAGGACCTGCACCACCAATCACGATCTCCTTCGCCCCCGCAATGTGTTCCTGTGCTGACTCGATCAGCTGCTCCATGTCATTGTGGTTCGACTGCTTGAATGGAATGGATGTGCCGGTGAGCGAGCCGGTAGTTGCAGATGTAGTACTGCCCGATGCGATAACGAGGTAATCATATGATAGGGTCTTGGGCTCGCCCTCGTTTGGGGTCACGGAGACCGATTTGGCAGCAGTATCGATAGCAGTTGCAACTCCAGGAAGGAACTCGAACGCGTCAGGCCGGTAGCCTGCAAAAGCATCCTTGATTGGGAGGAAGTACTGCTCGGGTTGGAAGGCCTTGGGTTTGGCGACGATGCGTGGGGCGGCAATATTCCAGTAGAAGCTGGTTGAGGGGTTGATCAGCACAACCTTTGCATCAGGTACATCACGAAGCACAGAGTGAGCAATATGAAGGCCTGCAAATGATCCTCCAATGACAACTATATCGATAGGTGCCATGACATAGAATCAGTGAAGTGAACAAGGGTGAGTTCGTTGTTTTGTTTTGGGAGAAGGGACGGGATGTCTTATATGTGACAAATTGGACCTGTTATCCACGCGCATATGCAGGGTCAGCAATAGGCCTGAGATATGTATACTGTCCGTTGTCAGCCCTCTAGCGCCAGGTTGAAAAAGAATGGCGTTTGTCAGTAATTTTTTTTTATTTCTAATTCTACCTAAATGCTGACCAACCCCATTTTTGGCCGGCCTTCAGTGATAATTTGCTTTGATTGGTTCACCTTCTCCAAGGTTTTTAAGATTTCCAAGGTTGGGCTGAACCTTAGATTGATGTGTTTGGCCTATTTGGCCTGTTTGCTTTGTTTGAATGATTCATCAAAGCGGGTATGCTACCCATGCATCTCTTTGGGCATACAATATCATACACATACATGAATAGAACAAGTAGGAAGGCTTCAATATATGCTGGGTATTCTATATATAGCGATGTTTGCTCCTTACCCACAGATGTTCTTGGCTTGTCCAGCCTCCTTATACCTATATGTATCTGAGCAGCTGCCTGTTTTCTGGAGAACCACCATCTTTCTCTCCCTTTTTCACGGAGTCTGACAAAATAATATATATTTGTTTGGTATATTTTCTTTCTTATGGGTTTAAAGCGCTATATAAGTGCTTGGGCTTGTACGTAATTACTAAGGATAACTTATAGTTAGCTCTAGATGCATTATATATTTTGAAAGATGCTCTTAACTCAGACAAGGAAGAATCTAAATTATCCACTTACACAGCAACGGGACCAACATCCGGATCATTTGTTTCACAAGTGTTCAACAAAACCATCTATCAGTGTCAGCTACTTCCAAGTCGACATGACCTTTAAGAGCGGGTCCAACTCTTTCCACCTCGGCGAGCACAAACCAAGAGTTTCTTGCTATTACAACATGTCTCAGGAAGCCTAGCACACCCCCGACACCCAGTAGCCGTTTTATATTGGCCAGAGCATGAGTATGTTCGAGTTCCAGTCCACCGAATATTCACCGACTCCTCCTTCTTCTGACCTCATACTTCTCTGCAGTATTCCTGGGTCGAATCGTGAATTCCTCACGACGTAGAACACCTGCAATTCGCACATAAATGTGAAGTTTGGGAGATAAGATTTCCCCACTATTTGGACAAATCAATTATCAAAGTTTATCATCTACTACAATGTCTCAAACCCAGCCTACGAAAATTGAGCAAGGGAAAGAAAAAAAAGACCGGAATGGACAGTATGAAGGAAATCACGAGAAAGAAAAGCGAAAGACACAAAATAGCCGGACTCACAACTTGACGTGTGGTATATATCAGCTCTACTCTTTTCTAGAGAGAATATTTTCAAATCTAGCCCTCGTTACCTAGGCAAAGGAGAGAATAATAGCTCTTTATATGTATTGTAATGTGATGTGGCAAGCCAAGGGGAACTGTACATCTAGGTAATCATCCACAACCCACAACCTGGGCAATCCTTACCAATGATAGGGGTTTTTCTCGAAGTCATCATATGTTATATATGGAAAAGTTGTTGTATAGGAATTGTGCTTATCACGAGTTTTCGGCGAGTTGCATCCAATCGGTTTCACCTACTGGCTAGAAACTTTAGAAAAGAGAAACGATAGCAAAGAGGTTGTATTAATAGCTCAAATATAACGTCCATGATATCATCTCGCACACTCTAGATATTCAGATCATTAGTCCTACAACGTTAAGGACAAAGCCCTGGAGTTCACATAGCTGGCCGTTCCATAGATTTTATTTAGCTTTGGACACTAACAACTGCTTGACTCTCAGTAGAATACCTTCCGGCCAGCATGGTCCAGGTGGATTCATGGCTAACTCACATCAATGGGTTAGACTGATTGGAACGAAGGTCACCAGATCTTAGTGTTAAAGTACGAAAGGTCTGAGACCCATATTAAGAGCAGACAAAGCCATGATTCCTAGTCTCAAATCTCGTTCGAGTATGAGAGTCAACTTTTCGGATTTCACTTGGCAGGTTTGCCATGTTTGCCGTGTTTGCCACAATTGTTTATTTTCCCCTATCTCGGACGTTATCTCTCGATAAGAATCATGTGACTCCGTAATTATTTTTGCGCATCTCCTGGGAACGCCCCAAGTGCAATTTGCATCATTATCATCCTCCCATCCATTTTTTTCCATTAGCATTATATCATGATGCTTGGAACAGCTCGCCGATTTGGCGTCTCGCACGCGCTGCGCGCTACTGCGCCTCGCTCAATCTCAGCGCGGTTGGCTACTCAGCTGCCGAAATGGCAAGCACCTTCGACCCTTTCATCTCTTGCTGCAACCAGATCGCTTCATTCCTCTTTCCCAAGGCTGTCTGCGGCTACTGCTGAGGCGACCGTTGAAGAAACTGAGCCCTCCAAGTCTGCGATGATCACAGAGTTTTCCGACCTGGCGGCGGAGAATCTCATTCACAACAAGATCATTAAGAACATCATTCAACCTGACCGGATGAACCTCAAGACTATGACTGAGGTGCAGTCTCTTACTCTCAACGAGATTGTCAAGGGTGATGATATGTAAGTTTTATTGACAGATATGCCTTGACATTGATTGGTCCGCTAACCCGCGAAACCTTTTTTCAGCCTCGCCCAGGCCAAAACAGGAACCGGCAAGACGCTTGCTTTCCTTGTACCCACCCTTCAGAACATTTTGAATGACCCTAGTGTCGACGTGTCCAAGGTCGGCCGCCGCTCAGCTAGAACTGGCCCTTCGGAAATCCGTGCTCTTATTATTTCCCCTACTCGCGAACTTGCGGAACAGATCGCAGTTGAGGCTAAAAAGGTTGCGTTTGGCACTGGTCTTATTGTCCAGACCGCTGTTGGTGGAACCCAGAAGCGTGCCGGTCTTGCCAAGATCCAACAGGAGGGATGCCATCTGCTCATCGGCACCCCGGGACGTCTCAAGGACATCCTCTCGGACCCTTGGACTGGTGTCTCTGCCCCCAAGCTGAACACTCTGATTCTCGATGAGGCAGACCGCCTTCTGGACCAGGGTTTCGCTCCTGATGTTGAAGAGATCCAGTCATTGCTTCCCGACCCCACAAAGTTGGACCGCCAGACGCTCATGTTCTCCGCCACTGTTCCTAGAGAAGTTATGCAGATGGTTCGTCAGACCCTAAAGCCAGACTTCAAACACGTCAATACCGTCCGTGAGGATGAAGTTCCCACCCACCACAGGGTGCCCCAGAAGCTTGTCTACACGCGCGGTCTCGAAAACAGCCTGCCCGCCCTCCTCGAGCTCGCTCAGAACTGGCAAGCGCGTCGGGACAATGGCGAGGACCTGCGACCTTTCAAGGCTATCGCCTATTTCAACTCCACTGCTGAGACCAAGATTTCTGCTGATGCTTTTAACAACATGGCTCGCAATTCACAATTCCGCCAGTCTTCTATGGGCAACATGAGAATGCTCGAGATTAACTCACGTCTCACGCAGGCGCTCCGCACTCGCAGCGCGGACAACTTCCGCAAGGCTCGCGAAGGCATCTTGTTCTCCTCGGACGTGACAGCTCGTGGTATGGATTTCCCGGATGTCACCCACGTCGTCCAAATTGGTGTTCCTCGGGACCGTGAGACCTACATTCACCGTCTCGGCCGCACAGCCCGTGCTGGCAAGGAAGGTGAAGGCTGGCTGTTCATGCACAGGGCCGAACAAGATGTCTACAGGAAGCGCCTGGGCCGTCTCCCATTGACCCTGGACACCGCTTTGGAAACCGCCGATGCAGATCTTTCCCAGACCTTCTCTAATGACACATCAGTTGGCAAGATCGTCAACCAGGTTACTGAGGGTCTGGCCCAGTGTGACGGTGCTACCAAGGTCAAGTCCTACATGGGTCAGCTTGGTACCACCACTGGAAACTTCGACAGCAAGAGAGAGGCCATTCAGGCACTCAACCAGATGTTCACCGTGGGATACAATATGCAAACTCCCCCAGAGCTCAGCCCTAGATTGATGCAGCAACTGGGTCTCAACCGAATTGACGGTGTCAGCATGGGTGATGGCACCCGCCAGCGCCGCGATGGTGGCTTCTCCCGCGGTGGAAGCCGTGGTGGCTTCTCTCGTGGTGGCGACCGTGGCGACCGTGGTGGTTTCTCTCGCGGCAGTGACCGCAGTGGTTTCTCCCGTGGTGGTGAGCGTGGCGAGCGCAGTGGCTTCTCCCGTGGTGGTGAGCGTGGCGAGCGCAGTGGCTTCTCTCGTGGCGGTGACCGCGGTGGTTTCTCCCGCGGTGGTGACCGTGGCAGCTTCACCCGTGGCGGTGACCGTGGCGACCGTGGTGATCGCCCGTCTCGTCCTCGCCGCGCTTTCGATGAGTCCTTCGGCAACGACTCTTTCCGGTTTTAAGTTTGAGTTGAATCAGAGATCAACTCTTGCCAGCTACGCTGGCATTTATCATTTATCTGGCATTTTCATGGATAGCAAGGTTGCTGTCCAGTGAGAACAGATCAGCCAAAAGTGAAAAGATGAAGCAACCATTCTGGCATTGGGCGGCGTTCTCACATCTCTTTTTTCGGACTGACTTTGTGTACTATACACCCTTGGGTGCTCTGTGTTTCTAATTTAGACTTCTCTCCTCTTTGTCTTATACTCTACTTGGTTGTTATGTGGGATTCCTTTCTGGATACGAAGACCTGACCTTAACTTTTTGATTTCATGTACAATATCTTCTAGTCATCTGCTATTTTTCTATCCAGGATTCAATTTTAATCTTGACACGATATCTTTTTCTACCAAAACAGCATCATAATAAACAGAAGACTTGGGTAACTGCCGTCTCTAACCAGATCCATTTTCGAGACATCTAAATCGTTGAATATGGGACAAAAAAGGAAACCTTATATCACATCTCACATCCCAAGTATATCGCAATATGCACGAAAAAAACAGTTACTCGTGAGTACAAAAAAAAACACCAAACAAGGAAAGAAACAAAGAGAATGCAC